GATCAGTGGCCAATGATATAACTTTTGGTGTTGCTATGATAAGTGATGATCTTTTATTGCTAAGGATGTTCACGATATATATATGTTCAATGTATGGATTCTATGAATGATGTGGAAGATGCTAGTAAAGGGCTTCTAGCAATTGCCAGCATCAAAAGGAAAAGGGTTCTAGAAGGAACGAGCAAAAGCTAGGTCACGTGGTCACATGACCTACGACATTTTTCGTCGATCAAAGAGTCACGTGACTTTCCACCGCCTCTTCTAATCCTACATGTACCCTTATTTTTCAGCCCTTTTTATCTCTTGTACATCTAGATCAAATGTATTGCTATAGTATAGTCGGCAATGTAAGGTAGAATTACGCTTCATTGAGCAGCTACCGCATTATAGGAGCAGAAATCATATCGAGGATATATGATGTGCATGTTAATGACAAGATAAAAAAAGAAAAACTTGTGCATGCTTTTTATGTATGGATTCATTCATCTATATATGCTGATTGTTCATGTTTTTACTATTACGCTGATACTTGATTATCGCCTCGCAATCCTTTTCGTACAGCAACCACAGAGTCCTATAATAATACATAAACATCACAAGATTAATTTTCCTTGCTATTGCACCCATTGATGGATGAATGAATGATACATACCACAATGACCGCATCTACTCCATAGTTGCGTTGTGCGAGTGCATTTCCAACCACGTTGTTGAGCACACCATACGTAAACAGCAGCAATCCGGATTCTTTGATAACCTTGACCATGCGAGGTGCTTGTAAGATAGGTTCACTTGCAGCCACAATACCCAATAAATCCGCCTGCTTAGCAAATCGCATACCACCTTGGAGTGAGTTACAACGCACATCGGCCACTGATAAGGTACCAGCATCTGTCAAAAAGAACACGGGATAGTTTGGCTGCTTGAGGTTCAAAGCGACGCAAATTTCGGGATGGAAAGATGAAAAAATGATACGACGATCTTGTGCTGCATGATCATAGACGCATTCAAGGATGGTGTCGACAAAAATATTGATTTCTTGGAATTGATACAGCTCATCGCCTTCAGCCTCATCCACCATTGGATACTTGACTTCAATGTTCAACCCTGCCGTCTTTGGAATTTTCTGTAACAATCATAGTAGGGTCAATATACATGTGTATACGTAGTAGTAATAGGCCTATGATTACCTTGAGTGCCTCAGCCAATGTGGTAAAAGGTGCTTGAATACTTTCAGGACCATTGCCTTTGAGTTTACCGAGCTTGTTGGTGCGCGTGAGTTCGAGTCGTTTTGAAGCAAGCGTACGTCCATGCATCTGTTTGCTGCTTATGGCACTCATCGAATTGGATCGTGCTGCACGTCGTTTTCCTTGAATAGGGGCAAGAAGTGAAGATGAATCATCTTCAGAACTAGGCGGTGATTCATATGCAGGTGCAACGATAGGTGGTCTGCTCTCTGCTTTTGGCGAAAGTTGTCCATTGGGATGATCATCGCTGACACCGGTGTGGTATTCTTTGATGTGTCCGGAGGGTCGTAAATTCAAAAACTGCTCACTGGTGATGGCATTCAAAGGTATATCGAACCCTGTCTCAGTCACAGTCCAATCATGATAAATCACAGGCACCAAGTCCTTCGTCAATTGTACATCTATAACATACCCCAAAGGTTAAATCACCGTATTCCATTGCGTAATCCTTTACGTACCAAATTCAACGTATTCTGCACCTAATGAAGCTGCCGTGATAAATGAAAGCACTGTATTCTCGCCTACTTGTAAATGGGATGATCTTTGATTCATGCCTGATCCACGATGTCCAATGATCTATGATTCATGCTTTCAGTATTCCTATCCAACCATATCCCATGACACCATGTTCTCTTTTACCTTGGTATCCAGAGACTTGTAATACGTGTATCGATCACCCACGGTCATGTTGGGGTGTGTGAAAGGCGTAACAACAAAGTACTCAAATCCCACTGTGCCAATGTACTCGAGCGTCGATGACCGAATAATAGGCACTGTTTGCTGACCACGTAAAGAAGAGTTGCCAGGAGCTTGTCCTTTGAATCCCCGTGATTTGGTATAAATCTGATCAGTGGCAAGAGTAGCTGTAGCACGTGCAATGATGTTGTTGCCATGGGATGCACCAAACGTCTCAACCAAATCGAAACGAAGCACCACACTTTCAGGGTTGCTGCTTGAAAGGATGATAGGCTCGATATCCAAAAGATGAAGCTGGTTGGTGGGTGGTAAATCAACGATGGGCAACTCGCCTGTTGCATTGACAGCTGAAACAGCAATAGAAAGTCGTTGATCCTCCAACGTGTTATCTTGTAGGTTCATGAACTGGGTTGAGGATGGGTTGCGAATGTCATTTGATCCAAGCTTGATGATAATCATGGATTGATCAGTGAGGTACTTGTGCCCATATAAACGACCTGCTCGTGATCTTGCTTCCAATGCATGATGGCTAAGAGATTCATTTTTGCCGATGGATCGTGTATCCTCATTATCAATCCGATCAGGGATGTTGTCGGGCTTTGTCATGCGTCCAATATCAAGGTAACCACGAAACACTGCATGCTCATAGGCAGCCCATCCATTACTATCCGTAGCCGCCTTGTCAGCATCATGATCCAATAAAAGTTGAACGATATCCATGCAACCCTCCATAGCTGATTTGAAGCATCATGTTAGCTCTTTCTCTCTTTTTTCTTGACACCTGTAGACAACTTTTAACCTACCAGCAATCATAAGGGCTGTCCATCCATTGATATTCTCAGCGTGATTCACATCCGCATGTCCTTGATCGATAAGAATACGCACACCTTCAGTGAAATGATGACGTGCTGCAATCAATAAAGCCGTCTCGCCATCTTCATCCGCCAGGTTGACTGAAGCACCCTTGGCAATCAACAATTGTAATAAATCAAGGTTACACACATTGCATGCTAACGCCGTAGCAGAGGGATGGTGTGATCGGTGAACGTATTCAGGTACAGTAGCAGCAGCATCATCATGTTCATCCACGCCGCCATTGGGAACACGTTGAGCTGACGCAGCTGGAGGAGAGGAAGAAGAAACAACAACTGGTCAAGGCGCCTGGTCCTTATCCACTCATGATGTAGCACTACCACCACCACCACCTCCACCCACCATCTTACCAGCAATAATGCCGTCAATATCATTAATCTTGCCAGTCTCGACTAATTCCTTGAGTGTCAAGTAGTTGCCATGGAGAATAGCCAAAAAGAGAGGCGTATGTCCTTCACGATCTTGCCATGCTGGACCAGCAAATCCACCCTTGTTGTTGTTGTAATCGCTTGTATCGATTGCCTGGCATAAAAATAGCTGTGCAAGTGCAGCTTGTCCAAATTCAGCAGCATAATGCAATGGACGACGCCCGATGCAATCCACCTGAGTGTTGAGATCGGGTGCCACCTCCAATAGTTTTTGAACAACAGCTTGTATCGCCTTGGAGAAAGCGTTCTCTTCCACCCAATCCTCTCGTACGCCAATACAAAGCTTATGCAACAGGTTGCGTTCGTTGATGTCATATCGTCCCATGGGATTCACCTTGACGTAGGACAAGAGATACTCGAGACAACTTGGTGATCCTTTAATGGCTGCTCGTTCAAGCATTGCATATCCAAATTTCTAAAAAGATGCCCCGTGTTATTATACGTCATGTCACATGTGCTAGTCTCGAGATAGGGAAAACACAAACCTGATCCACGCTGCCACTACCCAAGACTTGTAGTTGTTGCTTCATCTGATCCACACGATCGTCATCAATAGCATGCGCCAAGGATTCATGCTTGCCAAGATCACGGATGATGCCGGTTTGATAATACTTTGCAGAGGCTGGTGTGGATGCACCCGATACAGGATCATTGACGGCCATATCCGATAACCATTGTGTCAGTGTGTCGATATTCTTGACGATCTCATCTTGGGTGACAAACGGTAGTTGAGCAACCTGTATACAACAATATAAGCTACATCACTCTTATAGCATCCACCACATCCCTCTTACCTTGGTTTCCCAGTAGACTTGTTGCGTATCCAATCCAAGTTTCTTATCCAATCTATGGGAGTAACATGTTAAGAACAGGTCTCAGGAGAAAGAAAGAAAGGATGACTTTACTTTTTCAAAATCTTTCTAAAGCCTTGGGCATTCATTTCTGCAAACCATAGGATTCGACGCATTTGAGCACGTGTCTCTTGCAAGGCGCTAATGAGTTCCTTTGTATCATCATGGCTTGTTGTTGGTGCTGCTGCTTCTGCTGCTTCTGAAGTGGTGGTGGTGGTGGTGGTGGTGGATGGGTCGAGATAATAAGATGTTGCCTTGCAATACTGGTTGTACTTTTCAGAGACGATCCAGAACCGCCGATCAATTTGTGAGCGCTTGTACATGTAAAAGGTGTTGACTTTTTCCAATTCTCTATCCAACTGGAACAAGATGGCTATGATCATATCCATGTGTCAAGACGATTCATGCATGCATGTATATACTCATTCTACAATAGTTTTACCAGTGGTGCTTTCTTCCGAGGGTGGTAGCCGTACACCAGCTTCTTTGATAGCTTTCTTTAAAGCTTTGTATGACAGGTAGCTTTTGGACCATTCAGGGATCTCATTTTGCAATAAAGTCTTGCCGAATTTCATTAGAGATGAGCAAAGGGATCGTGAATGTGTGGGATGGAGAAGAAAAAGAAGCGAAGGAGTAGGGGATTCAAGTTGGCGGCCCTGCATAAAAGAGTAGTTGAGCCAATCATGTGATGCGGTGACAACGGACAAAGGAGCATGCGCTCGTTACAATTTCGATTTTGACATGAATGCTTGCTGCAAGCAATCCGATTCGACGACGGCATAAAATGCCCTTGGTTGCACAAGAAACACATTTCACTTTATACCTTGCCTTTATTGTCTGATGTTGATAATTGAGCTAGTTCCTTGCCGATTTCACTAAATAAATCCATTTCAGACTCTTCGTATTCCAAATGCATAGGGAGTGAAGGTGCCATCACAATCGATTGTCGGTATTCTTGTGGTGGTGGTAGTAGCGGTGGTTCCTCCATTTGTTGATGTTGCTTGATGCATTTCTCCAAGGCATCACAATAATTCTGATACTTTATGATCTCATGAAGCAAGTAGGTTGATTTGGATTCCCAATTACTCATGACCTTGGTATAATTTTGACTCTTGGATGAAAACTACGTACGTGCTACAAGTTAGGAACAACAACCACACTCATCGTAGTACTACCACATCCGTTGCTTACCTTGATAACCATTTTACGTTTAAGATCACGATGCTCATTGATATCATTGCTGAGGGTACCAAGATGTTTTCGCAGGGCATCCAACTGATCCAATTCATCCAATGTGCTTGATACAGAGGGTGGCATGGGTGGTCTCCATTCATAGATATTGATCGAATCAGGGTCATCGAATGATTGTCCCGTATTGACATCCACTGAGGCATCCAAGTCAAGAATCACATCATCCAAACATGATCCCCATCCATATTCCATATTGCTAACACCACCTGCAAGAGGTTCCTTGCTTTGTCGAGCAGCCCAATAATTGCATGTGGCCACCCATTCGTTCACCTGCTCATGGCTTGGGGCCTGAAACAAATAGACACCGCCATGCGGTTGCTGAACTGCAAACACGTGCGGTCGTTGACGGTTGTAACCCGGTGGAGGGAGCACGTTGGCAAGTGAATGGTTCAGCTTGATTGTTCCCAGCAATTGCATTGTAGACTATTATACACGTGAAAGTGAAAACAATGAGATCATGACGTTCTTTTTTGTTCATGTTACTGCTCTACTACTTACCGTTCCCGCCATAATAGAGGATCGGTTACTGCTACTACTTAATGACTCGGCCAATGCTGCAAAATTATTGATGCTACTAGCTCGAAGCAAACTCTTGCGCTCTTCACCATGATTGCTACCACCACCACTATTGTTGTTGTTGTTGTTGCTGCTGGTGGTACCACCACTACCTCCACTGTTGCCTTGAGAAGCATACATTTTGAGCTCGCCTTGGCCAACGACAACAAAACATTCCTTCCATTCTCTGTGTTTGGATTTTTGCCCACTGGTTTCCAATAAATGCTTTCGTATCACGACACCTTCCTTATAATAGGGGGGTTGTGCTGGGTGATGATGATGATGGTCACTGGATGCAAATGTTTGCTGGCTGCTTGTGGGTGATAGTGATGGTGTTGTAATATTGGTAGCCACGGTGTGATGCATCATGCTGGATGTTGCCGATGTGGATGAAGCAAATGAACCACGTTTGGGAGAGCTCAAGGGGGATGTCATGGGATTGATAACAAGGTCGTCTGAAAACAAGGTGCTCTCGCGTCCACTCTTACGCACCATGGAGTTGACGCTTCGTTTGAAATCAACCACACGTCGACCTCCACTACCAAGGATACTGCTGCTACGTTTTTGATCACCTCCAACATGTAATTGCTGACTCGAAAGTGGTTGAAGGATTTGATTATGCTTGACAGATGTATACAATTCCTATTTTCATGATGTGTGAGTGGTGATGAATGTATTCGATGATGCATTTGTAGTACCTTCAAGTAGATTTCTAAATCACTTTCCCATGTCTTGGAATAAAGAGCACTGCCATGTTTACGTTCGATGGGCATGTTGTGTAACTGTTCCTGGATGGTGGACATTGTATTGCGTACAAATGCTACGCGGTTCATGCGTGTGTGATTTCCTTGTGCAACATGCAAATCAGTGTTGAGCAACAACAAAGAGTACGCCACCGCATAAACAATATCTACTCATCAAAGAGGTGTTACAAATTGGATTGATAAAACACACACACGCACACACACGTACCTGGATTCCCAAAAATGCTCTCCGGATTACATTTCCAATAGCGTTGTGCAAAGACTTGGAGGATACGGTCAATTTGCTGGGCTTCGGCCTTAAAATACAGCTTGCTGCAAAGCTTTCTATATGAATCAAAAATAGATTGCCCATGAGATAACGTTGTTTCTGTTACATGACAAGTAGTACCTGAAAGCTGAATCCATACGCATATCGGAGAAGTCAAAATAATCCATGTAATACTCCAGGGCCTTTCCATTGAGTGATTTCCTATACCATCATCATCATCACATTAGCATCACTTTCATCATGACCAAAAGTAGTACTTGCTTACCCTTGGCCTAGCCATTCTGCTGCACGCTCCTTGACGATAAATGACTCATCACCTTGCCAGATGTGTTGTGCAGCGAATCGTGCCTCTCCTTCATGTGTTGTTTCCTTATCCACGGATCGAGTCATTGTTGGTGCTGATGCCGAAGATTGAGGAAGTGGTGGTGGTGATTGTTTAGGTGGAGGAGGATCTGGAAGTGCACTTGATGTAAAAGCGGGTGGAAGTGGCATTTGTGGAGGAGGTGGAGGTGGTGGCGGTAAAGATGATGATGGTGGTGGTGGTTGTTGTTGTAATTGATGCAAGGATCGTTTTCTTCGTGGAGGCGGTGATAAGGCAGCCACTGGGATCGGTGGAATATTACCAGACGACAATGTTAACGATGGCGTATTGGTTCTGGCAATCGAAGGTGGTCTATTATTACTGAGAGTGGCAGCTGCAGGTAATGAAATGTCGATTGATTCACGTCTCCAATTCATCATCAATTCAGCCAATTCTTGCGTGCTGTTTCTATTGGCAGCTGTGCTTAGCATCAATCCACCAGCACTTCCAAAATGACCACCACTAAGCCGCTTGGAGAGTCGGTTCTTGCTACTGCTGCTGCTACTCGTCCTCTTTTCACGTTCCATATCCTCTTGAGACATTCCAGTGGCATCCACAAATAAATCATCATCGTCGCTATCCGAATCATCGTCATTATCGTCATCATCATTGTCTTTTGCTGCTTGTTGTTGATGATGGTGTTGGTCTTCCTTTTTATCCATGGATGATGATGAAGGTGGTGATGGTGATCGATTGCCGATAGGTAATTCTGGAAGAGGTTGATCCAAATCAAGAGTGCTGTCACTTGCTTCTGGTCCGAATGTGCTGTATAATGAAAAGCTGCCTGAAGATTTGCCAGTGGATGCATTTGACCAACTTGAGAATCGTTGTGTGCCATGTTGAAGGGGAGCATCATCATCATTGTCGCTCGTATCAGTACTTGTTTTGTGTCGTTCTTGGTTGGTGCTATGTATAGATGCCGAATCGCTATGGCTGGCATTGAGTGTGGGTGATGATGGTGATGGTGTCAGGCGACGTGGTGTGTTACGAATGGGGTAGGCATTAGCGGTAGTAGTATTAGGGCTGAAATTAGAAGTAGTTGTAGTTGTAGTAGTAGTATTTGTAATATTTGGCGATTGTTGATTTGTATTATGGACATTGGGTGGCTGTGGAGGTGTATGTAATGATGTTGAAGGGCGAGATCGTAGCTCATCAGGAATACTTGAAAGTAAATCGTCTGACTCTTGTATCCCCGAACGTAATTCAGGTCGACGATAGGTACGCTTTCCAACCACTTCAATGGAAGGTGCATTAGCTGATGATTGTGTTGCTGGTGGTGCCAATGGGATATTATGAAGGTTGCGTGGTGTTGGATGGCTGATAGGTACTGTGTGCTGTTGTTGGTGCTGAATTGATCTTGTGCGTTTGATCGTCATGTCATCGCTGTCATCCACTGGCTATGTTACAAGATGTAAGTTTAACCTTAAATGTATGTGCTACCAACCACTACTACTTGCCTTGGCTCGTAACTTTTTAAGGAATCCAAAGCCTGACTTGTTGCTCTATTACAATGAGAAACATGAGCAAGCAGATAGATGATGGTTTCATATGTATATGTATATAGCTTACCCCATGGTGTGGATTGGCTTTCTTGACAGCTTGATGATGATGATGATCATCCACCAATGTAGTAGGAACATGCCGCACAGGGTGACCAAGGGATGAATCCACTCGGGGCAATGATGGGTTGGAAGAGTGTGGTGAGCGTCGATGGGGTGGTTCGGGTGCATGACGAGATGGAATGAATTGGGCGGCAAAGCGCGGATCTGCAGCAGCCATGTCAAGAGGTACATTCTGAATGGGTGTCATTGGGGTTGAGCTGCTTGCATTGTGGTGGTTGAGTCGAGAGCTATTTGAATGGGATGACATGGCGAGTATTGAAACAAGTAAAAGAAGAAGAAGAAGAATGATGATGACAGCGTGCACAGATTCATTACAACATTCTATCCATCACCAAAACGATTAATGGGGGAAGGCGGTAGTTGTGTAACGTTGAGTGTCTCGTTTGCATTTATGGTTTTTCTACACATGGAAAACGGGTTGCTCAAGCCGATCAGGAACGTAATCCTCCGCTCGAGTAAGCTTTTCATTTCATACGCTTTATATTAATTGTGACACGACTCGTTATATCCTCGGTTGTCTACATTGCTTCATTTTGACTAGCTTGTTGAAGGGGGAAAGTGGCACATAAAAGTATACACACACACACACAAGTATATATATGTATATCACATGCAACACGTTGACAAGCACTCGTGGTGTGTGGATGGGATGTGTACCTAGTTGGGTGGAATATTAGATGAGGAGGATTGCCACCCTGGATCAGGCAGCTTTCACACTCTACATGCTTAAAATGGTAGTCTCTCATCAACTGCATATGAAAACCATATCCTCTATTTTTGTCCCTGAAGCATTTCGCACGTGCACACACCCACATTACTGCCGTGTTATTGATATTACATTATTAGATGCAACCGTGTGATGCCAACCGTTGGTAGTCATCAACAACTTCTTTATGTATTTACATGACCAATGAAACCAATGAAAAAATGTTAATGCTGCTTATTTTTTCGCCGACTTGGCACGAATCTAATAGACCACCCAATGAGTTGTCATCATTCACATACACATAGCCATGCCCCCACATCTCGATAAAACTTACTCTCTCCAAAAGTGCCTGTCGTCGATCCTTGACACTTCCACCCTGGGCAATGGGTGCCGCCTTTTGTTCCTTTTTGATCTCCTCCTTCCTTTTTTCATCTTCCTTTCGCTGTTCCTCAAACTTCAATAGATCTCTCACCTGATCATGTCACCATCATCAGTAAACGTCCTTCAACTCCCCAATCGGCAAATGCTATACTTACACCACTGGGTAATTTGGCAGTCTCGATCCACTTTTTCTGGTCCACAATCTTGTCATGCTTTGGTAACTCCTTCTCAGGTATCGGTCCCTGCGTATAACGAGTTAATCCCTTTTCCTCTCTCCTTTCCCGAGATTTTTCATTCCATACTTCTCCATGTGTATCAAAATGCTTCTTGAGATTTCGAGACAAAAGTTCTTTACGTTGCTCCAAATCCTTTCCAGTCAATGGTGGCGTCCAATCATCACCAAAATCAACTTGATAGGTCTCCAATGTCTGTCGTCCTTGATTCAAAACCTTGGGTGTCATCTTGTACAGCACAGGTGCCAGGTATAATATCTTTGCAATGTGGGATACAGTGATGTTTCTATAAATACTCATGTATCAATAACAATGACCTATTTCGTTCCTTCTCTTGGTTCTGATTCCTTACTTTTTTGTTGAATTACGCAGCATAGGTTGGATATTGTGAAAAAGAGCCACCCGTTGATGTCCAGCATGGAATGTCAAGCTGACGTCGAGTGCACCTCTGAGCTTTTCAAGTGTCTCGCTTTCTTCGGCCATACGCGTTTTGGGATTCTACATACAATAAATAAGTATCATTCAAAATCCATGACATAGTATACCTACCAAATGAGTAGTGATATAGCTCCCATCACCCACTTGTTGTTGTGCCTTATCAATTGGCTGACTTGTAGCAGAAATCGGCTTAGGCAAATGAGAGATTTCCCTTTGACGTGATGTTGATCCCAAGGATGATGGTGTCGGTGGCAAATCAGGAAGAGGAGATGGTGCATCTCTAATCAATGGACGATGCTCTGGTGACTCGGCTGGGCTAGCTGGGAGATCCACACTAGTAGTAGTAGTAGCCTTCTCCTGCAAAGGTTGATCATCCTTCTTTGAAACGGAGGAATCATTGTTGTCGTCGTCTTTAATGGTTGAAGATGATGCCGATTTCTCTGCTAATGCCTTTGTTTCCTGGATTGGCGCTTCTTCAATCGCAACATCATTGGAGGAATCATCGTTGGCTGATATGCGTTGTTTTTTGGATGGTTCATTGGACACATGATCATCTCGTTCACGCTTCTTGTCATCTTCCTTTTTACTGCGAGTCGTTCGAGTACGAGAAAATACATCATATAACGTGGGTTGCGTGCTGCTGCTGCTGCTGCTGCTGCTGCTGCTTTTTGTTTTGCTGAGGCGCGTACTGCGTCGTGTGGGCACTGTTGTTGTTGTCGTCGTCGTCGTCTTTTTGGTCGATGATGGTTTAAGCTCCTGCCAAACAAATAGAGTCAACATCCTATCTCGCTTTGTACATCTTGCTCTTTTTTGTTTACCTCGACAGCTTTACGCTTGGTGTCAGATTCTACAATGGGCTTTTTGATTCCATCGGTAGGACGTCGAAATGGGCTCGCAGTCGCGTCTTGATGCACATCATGGATCGTAGCGTCTCGATTGTCTCGCTATTGGAAGGTTAGCGTCAGCTTCAAAAAGAATAACCATCGTCACTCGTCATTGTACTTACACCAACAGTACGAAGGCCAATCTTTCCTTGCATAACCGCTAATGAAAAGAGAGGGGTAGGTAAGGTGGTACAACAACAGGAAGGAAGGAAAGGAGTAGTAGTGGTGTCCATTATCTCTTGCACGCACTAATTCAACGTCACTTTGGCGGATCACGTGATCATTCTCGAGCGTGGTGGGTGCTTTGGAGCGGGCTCTACTGACGCTGGCTTTTTCTCTTTTAGAGTCCCATACCTGCCACCGACACATTCTCTCACTTGACGTATACGCGACGCATCGAGAACACAACGACCAGCAACATCCTTTGCCATGAATTCGGAATTTGATGATGTACTTGAGCGACTCGCCATCCAGCGTTCTCTATCTATACTGATTCCCTTTTCTTCTTTGGTCAGGTTCTAACCAACCAACCAGTGGTCATTGACAATGTAAGGCCATACTCTCCCAGATGAAGAACACACAAACAGTTTTATTGACGAGTAACTTGATAGGGCTCGGGTGTTATCAAGGCAGGCTTTGCTGGAGAGGAACAACCCAAATGTTTCTTCCCGTCCCTGTATGTGGTTGAGGCTTGATGGTTTCAATGTATGTGTGCGTGTGTATTGACATGTGGATCAAATCATCCTTTTAGAGTGGGTCGACCAAAGCATGTGCGCATCATGGCAGGTGCAGTGGAAGGAGATACATTCATTGGACGTAAAGCACAAGAATATCGAGGACTACTCAAGATCCGATACCCCTTGGAACATGGCATTGTCACTGACTGGGAGGATATGGAACGAATCTGGCAATACATTTATACGGATGAACTCAAGACATTGTCTGAAGAGGTATGTATATACAACATGATAAAGGAAGTAGTGCTCTATGCTTATGGATGATCTCTATATAGCATCCTGTATTATTGACCGAAGCGCCCCTGAATCCACGCATGAACCGTGACACCGCTGCTCAAATGTTTTTCGAGACATTCAACGTACCAGCACTCTTCACATCCATCCAAGCTGTTCTTTCTTTGTAAGACCCACTCTTTAAATCCATTTTAGATCGAGTCTAATGGATCATTCATTCATGATAGGTATTCATCCGGTCGTACTACTGGTATTGTCTTGGATTCGGGTGATGGTGTGACGCATGCTGTGCCTGTTTATGAAGGTTTTGCCATTCCTCATGCCATTCGTCGTATTGATATTGCCGGCAGGTAAGGAAACAAAAACACGCTTATTTGAATGAGGAAGCTCAACAACTCATTCTAAATGAAATATAGAGATGTGACCGAATACTTGCAATTGCTTTTACGTAAGGCTGGTTACAACTTCCATACCACTGCCGAAAAGGAAGTCGTGCGCATCATCAAGGAAAAGACATGTTACATTGCACAGAATCCAGTCAAGGAAGAAAAGGAAATGGGAGGCAAGATGGATGACTTTATGCTTCCTGATGGCAACATTATCAAGTTGGGTGCTGAACGTTTCCGTGCTCCTGAAATCCTATTCCAGCCCGAGATCATTGGTGAAGAATATCCTGGCATCCATCAAGTCATTGTGGATTGTATCAATCGTGCCGATCTTGATCTCAGAAAGTCCTTGTATTCAAATGTTGTCTTGTCGGGTGGATCAACCCTTTGCAAAGGTATCTTCATCCCATGTTGTTTTGATGAATCGCTGACATTACCTTTATCATTAGGCTTTGGTGATCGACTGTTATCGGAAATCAAGCGATTGGCATTAAAAGATATCAAGATTAAGATTTATGCACCCCCAGAGCGCAAGTATAGCACTTGGATTGGTGGTTCCATTTTGGCTTCGCTTAGCACATTCAAGAAGGTAAGCGTTTTATTTTTACAAAAATGGAGGATTGCTTACAAAGGATCTATTTTAGATGTGGGTCTCTGCAGAAGAATATCAGGAGGATCCAGATATCATTCACAAAAAGGCATTCTAGATCCATGGACAATGATCCCAATTTGTTTATTCCCTACCCTATTCTTTTGTTTCTTCTTTTGTGGCCTCCCCCCTTTTATGCTTTTTCTGTTCCCATCCGCGTGATATTATGTATACCAACGAGTAAAGAGACACACACACACACACACACAACATAAACATACTTACTATGTGTATTCGTTTCCAAGACGCAAAAAGATGGTTGCTATGGTGGTTGCTATGATGGTTGCTATGAGTCCGAATCCAAGGAGATTTCATTGAGCCAAAATTCAAAGTCAGCTCCGCCATTGGGATGGATCCATTCAAAGTCTCCGTGTACGTGTGCGTGTGAGCAACCATTCTTCGTTTTCTTCTCCCTGGAAGCTAATCTGCAGACGTACCATCGAGCTGGCAGTGTTAGTTTGGTTGCATGTGCAAGTTGTAGGACGATGTCTGCTCTACTGGCAGTCTCGAGTCTGCAATCGCCTTGCAATCACAAGCATCTCCTTCTTCATTGCATACTTTTATTATCCCAATGGTAAGTCATAATGGAAACTGATTCAGCTAACGAGGTACTCGATTTAGGTGGGATAGAGCACGGCTATTTACAAGAGGTCAAGGTGAAAGTTGTTGGAACGATGTTTGCTCTACTGGCAATCTCGAGTCCACGGTTTCTTCTCATTCACTCCAAGATACGCCATCACTCCTTATGCTGCTTCTACGATATCCATTGCTGAAACGATAGCACAAACTTGTCAAATCATGTTTTACAATAAACTTTAGTAGAGCATCTCTAATGTCTTAACTACGAACTATTGGGGACGCTGGTTGCTATAACATGTATGCTGCCCTTCACTCTTGATATCTTCGATAACGGTGTAAGCAATCAAAGGAATGTTTTCTCTACGGCAAGGTTAAGCCTAATAGATTCATAAGCCTACGTGTGGTAATGTTCTCCGTGGATAAAATCGACAATCGACATAAGTGGGGAAGGTGCCAACATCCATGCAAGGTGTGGAGGAGTGTAGTATAGGTGGTTTTGAATGGGGAGAGATCATTTCTGGCTCGTTTGAAATTGGTAGGTAAGGGCTTATTTGGACGACGACGGCGGCGTGAAAGACGATGGTATCGAGATTGTGGATCGCTTCATCGATAACTCAACGGTATCTTCATCCATTTACACCATATCCATCACTTGCGTCATCGTTGTTTTCGCATGCCACATGGGCTGAATGATGGGTGTCGACTTTTTGATCATGTCCCTTTCACACGTCGGGTAATGCAATCAGCTTCATGTAAACATCTGTGCAACGCGTATAAGTGATCATGATGACACCTTGAATAACGAGTACTTGCCTGATGCAAGAAATCCCAACGTCTGCACGTTTTGTCTACTCGTTGGTAGTTCTTGCACGATGATGAGTATCCTTCAATGCTATTGGGCATTTTAAGCTCCCTTCTTTGTCAATGCTGGATATGACTTTTGTAATGCCGTCTTTGACAATAATGGCTCAACGACGTTTTTATCCACTGGTGGGTGTTCCCTGATGTGGGTTTGTCGGCATTGAATGCTCTTGGTGCTGGTGGTATCAGCATGTACTTATGTCACCTACAAAGAAGTCCCAAATTCCCCATCAGACCCGGGATTGCCTTTTGCCTACAAATGTACAAGGCATCCTTTTAATAATTTTTATCAATATACAAACGAAGAGGAATTTAAATGATAGTTAAACCTACCACAAAGGGTCCATCAAGGATCACAGCCAAATGTCATTAGGCACCCATAAGCACTTCAAGTGGTAAAGGAATGATGAGAGCTACATAGATGAATGCATGAGTACCTTCACTTTGGGAATCACATAAAAACTGTCCTTGAGACTTACCAAAGGCCATTGATGATGATATGAATACAAGGAGAAAGATGGACGTATGATAGTGTTGGTGACAACAGCCTTGTTTATATGTGAGTTGGCGTGGGAGTTGTTGTCATGATGGATCAAAGTGATAGAGTGGTCAAGCATCTTGGAATACTGAGTCGAAGTGATGGAAAATCAAAAGCTGATAAATCACCCTGCGGCTTAAAAGGCAGCTTTTTGTAGGTGACATAAGTATGTCTGTCACATGGCTCAAGTGTTGATAAAGGAGTATACGGCAGGGTTAAGCCTCATTCTTCGTCGTAAAGTCTAGGTGTAGTAATACCCTTCGTGGATAAAATCGACAATCAATATAGCCAAATAGGGGCAGGTGGCAACATCCATCAAGAAACAATGACATTTTAATCAAAAGGTACATTATATACAAGAGCAAGATACGGAGGAGGATAACATAGGTGATATCATATGGATGAAAGATCATTTCTGGATCGTTTGCCATTGGTAGGTGAGGACTTGTTGGACGACGACGGTGTGAAAGACGGCGGTATTGGGATTGTGGATCGCTTCATCGATAAATCAACGGTATCTTCGTCCATTTGCACCATATCCACCACTTGAGTCATCGTTGTTTTGGCATGCCACACGAGTTGAATGATAGGAGTCAACTTTTTGATCATGTCCCTCTCACACGTCGGGTATTGCAGCCATCCACTCAAATCCAAAATACGGCACACATATCCTTGAGGAAAACTTGCTGCAATCAGCTTGATATAAACACCTATAGTAGAACGCGTATAAGTAATCATGATGACATCTCGAAAAACGAGCACTTGCCTGATACAATAAATCCCAATGTTTGTACGTTTCGTATGTTCTTTGGCGATTCTTGCACGATGCTAAGTAGCATATCTTTCAAAGTCTTTGGACATTTCAGGCTTCCTTCTTGAATGCTCTTGGTGCTGGTGGTATCACTGCATTTTCCCGCTTCACATGTCCCAAGCTCAAGAAATCCAACTTTGGACTTGAACAAGCCATCCGTCTTTGTACCCATCCTCTTTCGTTTCATGTAGTGTATTGCAGAGGGATCTCGTCCGCCGTTCACTCGCTGTGCTGAAGCTTGCGATGTCATTTCACCTCTATTGAAATAAGGTTACCACTTTTGATATCCTTCTCAGCATCATATAGCTTACCCTGTGTATTTGATGTTGGTATAGTCAAAGCAACGTTCGATCAGCTCCCATACTCTCCGTACAATGTCCTCTTCGGTGCGATCCAGATCTTGAAAGTATTTGCAGTGATATAAATCCAGAGCGTCGCTAACAGCCTTATGCACCCAATATAAATCAGATTGCTTGATCCGGTCGAATGGGCCAAAAGTATTATGCTGAGTTGTGAGATCTTCCAAGGTATGCTATCAAAAATGCTTATTAGACTATCTTTAGGGATGGTATTGTAAAAGTAAAGCCTACCTTTGACTTGAAAGAAGATAAATACTCGCGTATCTCAGTTGGGAGCTGCGACACTGCCATGGTATTGTAGGAGGATATCTCATTCAATTCTTCGTCGGTAAAATATTGACTCCATATCGGTAGTGAAGGATCCAGGATCATTGAGTGGCACTGGCTATAGGTATGGAGAAGATGTTAGTAACATGGCAACCATCACGTGATACTCCTGATGCAACTCACTGTTCGAAATTACATTCTTTCACTAACGATGCGAGCTGTTCTTCAACAATGGTGCCAGCGGTGAGTTTCCACATTTTGCTTGGATCGAGAGCGTCAAAAGTCTTTGATGCACGTGCTTGGTCTGATGGAGTAAGCCTTTTGACCGAGGTGGACGATGATGATGATGACGACGAAGAGGACGATGATGATAGTAACTCACTCTCGGCAGTGGTCGTGCTTGCTTTCGATGATGATGGTGCAGCTGTTGATTGTCGTTTCAGTATGTCGAGTGCAATACCACCCCAATCCACTTTGGAGCGTTCCTATCCATCATGTGTTAACAGCATATCAACGTGTACAAGACTATCACTTACGATCGTGGCATTGAGTTGCTTTGCAGCCCTTCCAAAACGAAATGGCCATACAGTGGCAAGGTCTTCTCCTCGGCTGCTGGTTTGAATGACAAGATCACGTTCGGCGTCGACGAATCCTTTCAAGGTCACAGGCTTCTTCTTCTCCAGGCAATCGCTAATGTACGCGACAATGACTAGCTACAGACGTTAGCAATAGCACAACAAGAGTATCCAAGCAATAAATTACCAGGGTCAATGCCTGGATTTCGGCCCATGGCTCGTGTTTGCTTGCAGGCACCAGAAGGTGTATGTCTTTGTGCGGCGTAAAGATAGATTTAATGCAATGCTGGTCGCACACAACCGTTTCAATTGCACTCGTTGCCTTGCACCCACAGCACATTGGTTGGTTCAAACCCATTTTTGTTCATGTACGTGTTGCCAGATTTGATTATCAGTATACTTATTATGTCGCCATGAATACCAGGTCGAACAAGCTGCAACAACATCAACAACACTCTATGTGCGCAGAAAGGAAGAAAAAGCATGACCCTCGCTGACAACGTCATGTGCCTTTTGGTTTAAGCAAGCATTTGTGTATAAGGATAGATCCAACTACATATCAACACCTATCAAAGTCGATAAAGAAGACATTGTGATAATTTTTATTCTTTGTCTGGGGTTGTAGAAGATGACACGAGTTTATAGATGAAGGAGATTGCAGGATGCACATCATACACGGATATTATATGTGATGGATGGCGATGATTAAGAGGGGAAGGGTAGGCTACTAGAAGAGAGGTATAAGTTAATAATAATAGTACCAGATGAGAGGTGCAGTTGCAGAGGCCAAGATATGAGACCAAGTAGGATTACGATATAAAACAGCAGCAGCTGCCGATTCTTCACCATCCTCTCCATCGCTATCCTTGTCCTCGGATGGATCTGATGATGATGATGTTGATGATCCAGATGGATGATCGTTGTTACTTGTTGCATTGTTGTTGGATGCCTTTGTTGGATTAGGATCTTGTTCAGTGGGAATGACAAAGTTTTCTTCCCAATAAGGTCGTGAGATGTTCATGCATTGATGGAATGGTACGACGTTGAATGTCTCTTTGATCTTGGGCAACCATTTTTCGGCCATTTGGACAGTAGCTGCGTTTAGCTCATGTTGTAAGATCACATGGCCATTTTCGTTATCAGTGCCGTTTTTGCGTGCATTGATCCAATTTTCAAAATAGCTGTCAATGGTAGCAGGTGGTGTGGATCCGCCACCAGGACCAGGCATGGACCAATCCTCGGTATCTTGATCCCATAAGACGGTTCTCATACCCATTTGCCAGGCAATGGCACGCACACGATCATCCACATCACCATAAGGTGGACGCCCTAAAAGAAGCAGCATGACATGTTAGCCTACTTGCAGCTGCATTTTTACATGGCGTATATAATACTTGCAGCACTTCACGGTCACCCCGGCAACTTCCTTGATAACTCTTAATGTCCAATACAATTCGGCTACTACTTGTTCATTTGAGAGAGATGTCATAGCAGGATGAGACCAGGTGTGGGAGCAGAGCGTATGTCCATCGGCAAGAGCTCGTTGAGCTGCAAGAGGTGCTCGTAATACATTGGCTCCAATGTCTATAATACACTCGTAAGAATCTCGTGCTTGGACATTATGCAGCACATAGCAAGGGGTGGCGGAGCAACTAGGAAAGGAGTGTACAAGTAGGGGAGCAAGTAAAGCCCAAACTTACAAAAGAGAGCAGCTTTTTGTTGATGCTCGGCTAAAAAGTTGTATAGATGGGGCTCAGCAGCTTCTTTGCCTTCATCTTGTGTTAATGGCCCATCATCGTATGTCTATTGCATCATCATCATCAGGATCATTACTCATGTCGAATTTGATCATCATAATGTTGTCATTTACCAATCCCCAATCGCCGGGTTTTGGGCAGTAATAAATGTCTTCAGGCAATCCACTAAACTTGGGCTATGTACACAATGATGCCACTTAGTATGGGGGTACTATAATACAGTGCGTGGTGAATCATGTTGTAGTATACCTTAACACAACCTGTTGCACTCCACCAACAAGAAGGATCCGATGCCTCGTTGTAGCCTTTCATTTGTAGGTTGCCATCATTGTCAGCTTTTCGTATGGAGGCTTTGGGTACTTGAGACCAGTCAATTGCCTTGATGACAGCTTGTACTTGGGGTGATTGAATGGATGGCGTTTCACCAGGTGAAGGATAGCCTTGCAGTGTAATGTTGCTGTTGGATGAAAACGGGCCTGTTGGGATCTTGGATGCATCAACTGGATAGCTGTCAACGTTGCCTGGCAACACCTTTACATCCGACAACCAAGCAGGAGACGATTGTGGTAATGGTCCAGAGGAAGAAGATGGTGTAATCTTGTTTGTGCTAGCAGTGGTTGTGGTTGTTGTGGTGGCGTTATTACTGTTACCATCTTCTTGGGCGTATGCAGCTGCTGTGATGGCAGCCAAAGTATACAAGATTGAACGAGATATCCACATTAGAGAGATAGGAGCAGCAAGTTGTCAATACAACACACACACACAGAGCAAATGTGCCTCGATGTAAAAAGAAAAAAGGGGAAATCTCGACGCGTGGTAGAGAGAGAGAAAGAAAACAAGATGCTTCGTATTAAGCTATTTATACAGAAAAAGGATCAACGACGAGAGTAACAGCATCAGCAGTATGCCGGGGTAGTAAGGTGTAGATGTGGATGTCAACGTACGGAAGATTGAGAAGTTTACTATAGTAGTTGCTATCAATGACCCGTGTATAATGAGATATTTTCTCCTGGATTACATCGAGGCGGACGTATCAGCTCTTGCATACACATGCTGTGATAGGGGCGTCTATCCCGGGGGTTTTGACTCGGGGGGTTACTGCATCTTTAGCATGGAGTATATACATCTTGTAAAAAGGCGAATCGAATAGGCAAACTTTGCGCGGTTTTTTAATGGAAATCAAAAAGAAGAAATCAACAACAGACCTGAAAGGGGGAGAAAAAGTGTCATACAAAAAAAAGGAGGCAACACTGTATATCTTGCAAGAAAGAAAAAGAACAAAAAAACAGAAAGCAGAAAACGGTATACAACGTGCTAAAGAAAAAGAAAGATGGTGCACGGTATTAGATATCAAACCAACAAACAAAAAAGAAAAAGGAGAGGGCGCCCAGTCAAACAATAAAACAGATAGCAAAAGGGAACCTCTCAGCTCCAGTGGTATCCAAGGGCAGATATAGAAGGTGAGTGTGGGGTAGGGTAGTGTAGTGTGTTATGTGAGCTTTTTTTTTGGGGTGTATATGTGTGTGATTGAAAATGTGGATGTGAGTGTGTGTTGCCTTTTCCGTGTGGATGTGCGTGTGTGTGTGTGTGTAATTGTGAGAGTACTTGAGAGAGAAAGAGAGTTTTACATACAAAGAGTGGTTGTGAGTGTGTGCGTGATTGTGAGTGTGCGTGAGTGTGTGTGTGTGAATGAGAAAAAGTCGTGTGTTGTAATATAAAATGTCATGTATGGAGATCATTTTGTCCGCCGTCTAGCCTTCTTGTAACGTTGACCGCCCGTGTCACCACCGGATTGCTGTTCCGCTGCAAGGGCATCAGCAAACATCAACGAGTTGGAATTGGAAGCAGGAGACGATGAAGAAGAAGAGGACAATGATGACGAAGATGCCGTGGATGACGATGAGTGACGTTTGGGGCAGTAACGATACTCTGGGAATGCTTCCTTGTGAGCCAACTTTTCTTGTTCAGCCAAATCATGCCATGGTTTCTTTTCCTTCTCCGTGAGTCGGGCCCAACGCCGTGATGCACGTCTATTGTTGTTTGGGTAAGGTTAATTGTTTGACAAGAATGCGGAACACCACATGGTGTATGTGTAAGTATACTTACTTTGAGATCTCCTCAGCACGTAACGTGGGATCTTGTGATTTAAGTGCTTGGCCATAATGACAGCGGAACTAAAAAAGACACATCTCATAAGGAAAAGTTTTAAAAGATCAAACGTATATAAAAGTAGTATACTTACATGGATCCATGCATTACGTGGGCGTTTGATGTGGGCGTTCTTTGTAAGGAATTTGGAGTGATCAATGCCAGAGGAACGCTTGTTGTTGGTAGTAGTAGCAGCAGCGGTGTTGTTAGATTGTTGTTGTTGCTGCATGGCTAGTGACACGAGGTGCTGATGATGATGCTCTTGTGCCGCGCGGTGATGCGCATCAGCGGATGCAGCGGCAAGTGCTTCGGCTGCCATGCGAATAGCTGGATCTTGTTCATCTAACAAGGCTTCATCATCACTGCTACTACTATTGGTAGATGAAGATGACGAGAGTGAACAAGGTGGTGGTGTAGAGTGACGCAGGCTCGATAATCGGAGACAGTTTAGAAACGATTCCGCAACCGTTGACCCAGGGTGATGCTGCACAGCTGCTGCTGCTGCTGCTGCCGAAGCGGTCGCCATGGTAGGTGACATTGGCGAATAATCATCCTCCACCATAGCGGTTGTTGTGGTTGCCGTGGAAACCATCTTGTTGCTTAATGTGGATGGTGATGCGTGTTCATTGTTGTTACTACTATGCCGAGTTCCTTGATGTCTTTGTTGACGAGCATGGTGATGATGATGATGAATGCTACTACGACGTGGGATCGGGATCTGCAACGACGGCAGCTTGTCAGTCAAAGACTTCCACTTCTCCTTGAATAACAAAGGCCGAAAAGCATTCTCGTAATTCGACATGCGATGGTTATCCAATTGAGGCTCGGGTTCCAGAAATGCAGGTGCAGCGGGATGAGAGCTTGTCATGGTATTCAATCGTGGCAATGAGGGTGATGGCACACACTGACTTGACTCATCTTGCTTGTGAGAAAAGGAAGCTGGTGATTCTGGTGAAGGTGGACAACGTTCTTTGTGTGGCAACAAGGGAAAAAGAAAGAAACGTCAATTCGATGTCTATCACCACCTCCTAGGGAACCCCTCTCACCCCACACCCACACACCCACACCCACACATCATCATCATGAACATTATCAATTCCCTATCACACACTCTCCACACACATCAACAACCCATAAAGCGTGTATACATACTTGTATCTTGAATGATAGGTGGTAATTCCAATGAGTGAGCAAGTGGGGATGACAGCGTCTGCCGCGTAGAGAAGCCGACGTCGTGTGACATGATTCGGATCAAAAAGTGATAAAGTGTGAAAAAAAGAGAGAAAGAGAAAGAGGAAAAGAAGATGTGAAAAAGAAGAGAAGAAAGCAAAAGGGGAAAGGGATAAAAGAACGGGGAAAGGGAAAAAGAAGAGAGAAAAATAAAAGCGTTTGTGTGCGCATGGTTTGGATTGGCCTGGGGCGGCTGTCTTGTCAGTGTGTGTGTGCTCTGCTGCTGCTGCTGCTGCTGCTGTTCTTGATGTAGAGTGGATGCTTTTTCCTTGCAACTGACTTTGAATACAACCTTTGTGTCCTTTTCATTCATTGTTTGCCCTAGTTCATAGCCCCGGGTCACCCGCTGACTTGTTGATCGCTTTTGATTTCATATACCACATAATGCCATAAGCTTCCTTTTGAGCGTCGGTGTGAAACATCAACACAATGAACCTACTTGTCCGCTTCTTCCGGTTTACAAGATCCATCATTGCTCAACAACAAGAAATGATCAAACACTCCCTCACCTCTCACACCCAAATGGCATAAAAAAGCTATCCGAGATTCAGCTTGATCGCTCTCGGCAACATGATGTTATCATTTGTGAAGAAAAAATGGATCGTTCATCCATATCACTCCTCCACCCCCTTTCTCTTTCCGGTACACGCACGTGCTTTTTTCTTTCTTAATCACTTTTTCATTCATAAACGACATGATGCATATAGATGCCATTTTCATCTTGTAATATACCATCATCCATTGTTTACATTGGGTTTTATTGTAGTCACTCTTGGTTGGCCTTTGTCCGTAAAAAAAGGAGGTACTTACGCGTGGAAAAAAAACAAGAGAGAGGCGATCCATGTCTGAGGTTTTCCTCTATGCTACACAAAATTGATGCACACGCCACCGTGTCCATAGCACATTGCAAATGCTCAGTCCTATCGTGCCATGGCAACAATTCAACACCGACACCTCACCGTTTTGGAGCCACGTTGTAATCGGCGTGGTATGCAAGATGCGTTATTGTTTACGTTGGCAATAACCGTGGATGGATTTGTTTGGCTGTAGTAGAAAATAGAGAAAGACAAAGAATGGATGGGGTGACAATTGTGTTTCAAAGAAACCAAAGCTAAAAATACAGTTTGCTAATTGATCTTGTATTTTTTTGGTGTATCCCATTGGAGGAGCACTGACCGTAAAGTACACGGGCCCTTTGTTCAATCCAACTTTTGACATAAGAAAGGAGAAAGATCATTATTTCTCGTCATGCAACGTAATGAGCATAACAAAGAAAAAAAATAAAGGAAGTAAAAGCCAAACAACTGCCATGTATGTGTATGTGTGTGATATGTGCATCATGCCATGGTGTCGAAAAGGAGCAAGGATGGAAAAGAACGAAAACTGACATTGTATTTACGCATCACACATTGCATTGCGCCTCGCTTTTTGCTATTTTAAATTTATTGGTTACATACAACGATCCATTTCATTGCGAGGGAGTATGTCCACGACAAGCAACATCATGTTGGTGATGGATTCCGCCTAATGACAAGGCATCATGCACATACCATTCTTCTCTTGAGCGTAACGATGCAAACATTTCTGCCTGTGCTGCAATCTACGTTACACACATGGTTATTCACCGGCTCCGATCCTTTACTTTCCACCCGATGTGTGTTATTTCTGTCAAAAAAAGCGACCCTACATAGCCGATAGGTCACATTATGATTTGTTTCACACCCCATTTTTCCCGCCCTGAATCACATCAATGGGTGATTTGAGCAACTGCTGTCGAAAGTAAAGTGGTAAATTTTAGGTTGATGGATGGGGTAATATACAGCAGCTGGAATCATATTCATGTTGTTGGGATAAGGTTATGCTCGGCGACATGTGACTGGAATAGAATACCTTGTGCATGTGTCAGCAACGACAAGCAATATTTAGTCAATGACTATAGCGTAACAAAAAAGACGTCAAGCAAATTCAAGTTATGAAGCGCGTGAAATGATTAGACTATCATCACATGCTGATTGTGTTGTCGGTGTATATGATGGTCTCGATCCATGAACGCCGATCTCAGCTGCAGCTGCTGCTGCACTCACTCCACCACAAGCATCACAGCCTATGCTTATCTCTTGCAGCATACCTAATGTTTTCTTGTAATCACGTTACTTCATTCGTCGCCATTAATGAAGGAGTTGTTGTCTTTTGGCACTGCTTGGTCATCTTGTATAGGAGCTGCTATAGCCTGAATGGCCCCTTGACTATAGGTTTGATAGCCACTTTAAATCGCACCTATCAAAGATGTCTATTGTTTTTGCTAGGTATGCATCTGTGTTGAATACAAGATGCGCTTGTCGGTGTCTGTGGGATGCATTGTCCTCGTGGGTCAGCCATGAGACCTACCAGCGATGCATTAAGGGGTTGGGCGTGGATGAAAAGGAGAACGATTTTATGTTGACGCCTGATTGACAGGTGGCAACCAGGAGACAAACAACTTGTTGCTGTTGCCTCCACCCCCTTTCCGTTGTCAAAGTACACAGCCGCCGTAAATGAAAAGTGGTACCGATAAGGTGATAAGAAAACGGCAAAGCGGTCATTGAATTAGGTTACGAGCACAAAGTCCAATGATGGATAACGCAAGGTTGATAGGTGTTCAATGCCAGGAGGGAAGTACAGCATGAAAAAAAACACCGGCAAATGTTACGGCATGGTACACTTAGGATAACGTTTACACACGTAAAATGTAGGGCGCGTTGTTTTACTATGAATGGCATGGTACACAGCACGCGTTGCATTACTTACAATGGCATTGATGTTTACGTGTATCAGTGTGCCTGTGTGCGTGGGATCGGACACGGTGGCAGTCATGTAAGCAACGCTCAAGAAGGGTAATTGCGCTCGTTGTTTTATGAATTGTTGCTGGGTTACCATTAAACGTTCCACCATCGACAATGCTTATTCATGTATGGCTGCTTCCATTGTCTTTATGTTCGCACCGTAAAGGTGCCACAAGCAATAGTTGCTGGTTACACTTGCGAGAAGAATGGCAGGAGCACATTTGCTGAATGGCTAATTGCTTCTGTACGATGCCATTGGAACCGTCATAGCTATCCATAAAGATGGTGACTATCATAATGTAATAACTAGCAAGTATGTGGATACCTGAATGGTGCCTTTAGGCAATGACACATATTAATCTTCAACCCTGACATGAGCAGGCTTTATATTCGCGGCAGCCATTTGCTTTGTGTCACCTCCACATTTTCTCGTATGAAAAAAGGGATCAAGCAAAAAGTCAACCATGAACATGCTTTGGTCAAAAATGGCATACACATGATTACGGAAAGTATGTAGGTGCATTGCAGTAATGTTATCATCGGCTAAAGGTTAACCTGCTGCTACTACTACTGTGCGGATTAATGTATGTTTGCTTCGCTAGACCCAGCCAACCTGCAACGTCAGCGGCAATGAGACGCGTATATGGTGAGTGAGGGATGGCACGATTTCGTTCCCAGATGCGGTATCTTGGACTCTTTTTTACATCATTGGGCGTTTTGAATTTAAACTTTTTCGCACTATGCCTCATCGTTTTTTCATCCCGCCACCCCTCCTTTGCCCCAATTGCATGTTCCCAAGGAAACCTTCAATGGCATTACTGTTTTAATGTTTACGTGTAATGCACCATGCTTATGCAGCTATCGATATCCTCACATCCGATGTACGTAGTATGAAAGCTTATTGTGCCAAATCAGCCAGGGGAAGGGAATAGGAGTGAATGGTGCTACGGCTGTACGCCACGAGATGCCTAAAATGACTGTCTTTGGTAAAAACAGAAATACAAAAGGTTGGGTGTAGACACGTTGTGCTACTATGGGTGCAGAAGAAAATGGCCAAAATTAGAGAAAACAAGGCGCAATGGGTATGCAAAACGACATCCGGGAAAAAGAAGGGTCTGTCAGAAAGAGCCAAAGGAGGAAAATTCAATTTATTTTCGGATCAGAGGCGGTATTCTATAGCATTGAGGGGAGAATCGGTTACCACGCCATCATTGCCGCGCGCACAGCAACCATCTGCTTATATAAAGACGTAGCTTTTGAATGCGGAGCAACCCATCATCACTCGTTTTTTTTTTCTTCCCCTTTTCTTACACACCACCATGATGAAATTGACAAGCTGTGGCACTGCAGCAGCATTGCTCATGATGGTTGCTGCTCAACAAGCTCAAGCGCAATCGCCCACTTCTTCCGGTATTCTTGCTGTACAATCACCTACTTGGTTACCCGATTTCCCCAAGCCATCGGGTGTTGTTACTAGCTATCCTACTGGTCCTGCTGATACTGGTGCCACCCTCGATAAGACAACTCTCAACTTGACTGCATATCCCGAACCATGGGGCAAACCAACCACTGATCATCCTGAAATCAAGGCTGTTATGGATGCCATTGATTGGGACCATGTTCCCAATGCTACTATTCACAAGGCCAAATCCAATGGTGATCTTGACATGGATGGTTACGATGAAACTAATGATCCCTACTGCTGGTGGTCTGATACCAATTGTATCAAGCCTAAGGTGTCTTACTTGCCAGAGGACATTTACTATTGCCCCAACGTTGGTGATTGGGGTTTGAACTTTGATGATGGCCCATACAATCCTAGTGATGATGATCCAATTCTTAACAAGTATTCAGAGCCTGAGCTTTACAACTTTTTGGCCGAACACAATCAAACCGCCACTCTCTTTGTAAGTGATCCTTTGATGCCGTATCATGTTCAATGGCTCATTTTCTCTTCTTCATAGTACATTGGTTCCAACGTTGTAACCTATCCTGCTGCTGCACGTCGTGCTCTTAACAATGGACACGTTCTTTGCATTCACACATGGTCTCATCCTCAAATGACGGCTCAAACAAACGAACAAGTGGTTGCCGAGTTCTATTGGTCGCTTCGTGCCGTCAAAGAGGCAACAGGCGTGACCTCAAAATGCTGGCGCCCTCCTTATGGCGATGTTGATGATCGTGTGCGTGCCATTGCATGGCAAATGGGTATGCGTACCATCGTCTGGGACCAAGATACCAATGATTGGGATATGCCTGGTGACGGTGGTGGAAACCTTAGCCCTGATACTGTCAATGGCTTTTTTGAAGATTGGATTAACTCTCGCAAAAACGGCACCGACAATGAGCATGGTCACATCACTCTTGTAAGTCTTGCTCTTTCCGCTCTCGTTGTAACGTATCAAAACTCACATACGCAATCACCTTTAGGAACACGAATTGAACAATGCCACTGTACAAATGGCTGAAAAATGGTTGCCAGAATTGCAAAAGAACTTCAATGTCGTCAACATTCAGCAATGTATGAACATCTCTCAGCCTTACTGGGAGACCGATTTTGTTTACCCCACTGAAAAGGATCCCAAGCCTGCTCAAAACAGCACTGCTTCTTCTTCGGCTGCATCATCTGGTGCTAGTGCTAGCAGCACCTCTGCCGCTTCTGGTTCTGCATCCGATGGTGGCGATAGCCAAAACCAAGAGGATGGCCAAGACACCAGTATGGCCGTTACTTCATTTACCGCCACATCTGCTTGGGCCATTTCCTTGCTCTCGGCTGGTGCCTTTTACCTCGTTCAGTAAAATGTAGATTTTTCACTGCCTTAGCATATAATCATTCATGCATGTACACCACACCTCCTCATCCACTCTTGCTTTGTATCTCTCCTTTTTTTTTGTATTTGAAGTAATGAATCAACCTCTATACTACATTGTATCATCAGGATCCTGTATCACTTGAATTGCGTGCGCGTATCATCGGCCCGAGGCTTATGATGATGTCTTGGCAAAAAAACGTTAATCATAGATGTTGGCTATTCACCAGTGATACAGGCATGCTTGTGTCACTTGGTGCATAAACATAAATGCAATCACCATACACAACCGATTTCAATGCCAATGTGGCGCTAAACACGAGGACATGTCAAACAACAATCCCTTGATCAAGCCGCCAAGCACAATGAATTACCAACATGGTAGTTATTTCAGGCACAGAGACAACTCGACGTCATGCCAAGGTACAACCACACGTATCATTCACCCCATATCCACTGATTCTTCCTCAATGGCTTGGAATTCTACAAATGTTGAATGGCTAAAGAATACCCGGATCGGCTACCGACATGTATATAGACCACGTGGTTTTCCATTTTTGTCATTTTCTTGCAAACAAAGGGACGTGTGTTCACTGCATATGTTCAAAACAAAGCAACATGCTTTTTTCTTTGTATCGGGGAGTTTCTCGTAGAAGAGTAGAGCATTACATGGGGGATGGAGATGAATGATGTAAGGGTGTAATCGTCATTGTATATACAAGCAAGCGCTATAGAGTTGCTGCTGCTATTTAAGGGAGATGTGTCGGGTCCTCACAGGTGCCGTACACCGCACCATTGTAACGGCGGCAATACAGGGGGCTGGAGCATACAAGGTTTTGGCTACACACTACATACATACAACAACGCATCATCAGTGGATGGCTCCTTTGTTTTCAAGGAGATAAAAACTTACTCTCGTGAAGGGATCGGTAAGGAGGAATGATAGCTGCATTGGTAACACCAGCCAAGACAACAAGAAGAGTGGTAACGAAGATTGCTTTGATCATGATGAAGAAAAGTATACACACACAAAGATGATGGAATATGCTTTTTGTTGGATACAAAAAAAGAGGCCTGTTTATATATAGGTGACAAGAAACTTGATTGTTCAAATTAAAATGTATGTCCTGGTCAAAGCTTCAACAAGTCTAGTGCGTGTGTGGTGTGTATGGGGATATGGATGATGAAATGGGCGGTGGAAAGGGAGATATGAATGGAGTGGCCTAAGCTCTCAGTGACAAGTGGCCGATGGGTAAAAGTGTGAAGCGAGGTGCTTGTGGTGCCAAGGGGACGACATTATGTTGCTGATTGGAGGTAGCTGTTGTCTTTCGTGTCCTATATGAGACGCATGAGTATCTACGCTTTCCTGGTGACTTTTTGCCATCCTTACCGTTCATAGGTTTCCCGATTAGGTCGTGTCAATATACCCAAAATCAAGGTCTGTTTCAAACAGAAGCGTTCAACGCTTGGTAGAAAGTGAGGTTCAAAAGTGGCCCAGTTGATTGGATCAATCTATGCAAATCAAATTGTAAGCAACGTGGATACCATTCTCCATGCTAAACCACCCTTACATGTTCCTTTGTGTTTTCAATGCATTGCTTCATTTCCTCGGTAACAATGCCATCTTGAAGTACCAGGTTTGCAAAGTACATGTCAAATATCAATTGGATGGCACCCTTTTCGGTCAACTCGGGTTTGAAAGATCGGAACGTGGAAGTCATGGTTTCAGTAAGCTTTTTCTTGAGAGCTTGCATAATTGTCTAATAGACATGTTAGTGGTGATCGTGTCTCCATATAATCAATAACCCTTACCTTATCCAACATAGTACTATTGACCCGCCGTAATTCTTGACATACTTGGTACACTGCACGCTCGACACCATTGGTAGCTTGGATCGGCAAATGCACATCATCTCCAACATCTACCATACATTCTGTAAGTTTCAGGCACAAGTTTTACAATGATTGACTTACTACTCCACAAGAGCGCTGCTGCACATTGATCATTCCATTGGTTTTCAGATAATCCCTTTTGAAGCGCATGTCCAAATTTGCTGGATACCATGTTGATCCATGAATCGTGAGCTTGGTGATATGTAGCGATGAGCTCTTCTTGAAGCTTTTTCACCCTTGGGTCTAATAAGGAATCCCATCAGCATCCCATCCATCCTTCAAACTTTTGACTTTTTACCCTTATCAATCCCGCTTCGTAACTCCAGGGTCCCATGTGTTGATGGCCTGCTCAATGTCAAGGCACGGGGCAGCTCCTTGGATGAAATTGCAATTGCATTTGCCAGACGTCCAATAAAGATCCCCATGTCATTTGCTATCACAACGACGTTGATTAATACAGAATAACTCGATGGAAACCTAAATCCAGTTTACCTGCTTTCTCATCTGTCCAACTATGCAGCTCATCCAGTAGTTTTCGTAATCCTGAGGTGTATTCAGATATGGCATTGGCACAGCTACTTTCAAAGTACTCCTTGATGGAAGCGGTGTCCCTAGTTGTCGAATGAATAAGCAATCTGGAATCGATTTCAAAAGTGTCACATACGTTTTGCATTGGAAGCTGTGCTTATCACTGAAAGTCATGTGATGTTCAACATCGCCTCGCATGGCTTGTAAGGCGTCGTCAAATGCAGCTTGAGTCTCTTTAATCAAACGATGACGGCCTTGGGATGCGTCTGTGAGAGACTTGATAAACGTTTGAATGGCATCGGAGGAAGAAGAGGTGGGCAATGGAAGTGTCGTCGTATCAAGAGCCACAGGACATGCTTCTACAAAGGAATAAGTAAAATCATCACCGTGCTAGTGATTCAACACGTACCTTTGGCTTGTATCCGCTTTGAGATCAATGTATGTGGTTGCTTCGCCAATGCTTGACAACGAGTATCAATCAACTTCTTTGCATGTCTATTGAAAGGATCTCGCAGCATGTTGTCCCAGAGAGAGTAAGGCCGTTCCAAAAGTCCTTCACACGTCTAGTGGTAGTTGTCAATGACAATGCTCTCTCCCTCTCTTATCCATGTATACCCATCATCCTACCTCCTTCCAAGATGCACCCTTGGTTTCCAAAATGATTCCACTGCGACGATGATTGGATTCAGCTGTTTCAAGCAAGTCCCATACACGTGATCGTATTTGAATCAATGTCTGATGTGTGTCGGCTTGCTCCAGCATCGTATCAAGATGGCCCTCGAGTAATTCTTCCACGTTTTGAATCCAAGCTTGAGCAAATTGTCGAATATCACCAGGCAGTAATGGCTGACCAGTTTCAAGCTGAGGTGTATAACTTTGCACGTTTTCTGGAAGATATCGCATCAACAAGTGGACGTTAGTGCTTGGTGCAAAGACACGCGTAATGGCTGGTAAGGTCGAGGATGAAGAAGAGCCCATCATGAAATTATCCTGCAGCTGCTCGACACAATTCACAAGAAGTGGCCGTTGTAGATAGATCTCATAGACATGAACGAGAGTGCGTTGTACAAGCTGAATGATCTCTTTGAGCTGATAGGGCAAACGATGCTCTTTACTGCTGACCATGTCGTTGATAGCTGCCATGCGTATCTCAAGGAGTTGCTCCATGGTGCCGAGGTATACTTGACCATCCAAAAGCATCAATGATAATAAGATTTCTGCTACGCTCTATAATAGCATGTTAAAAGATACCCTACCATAGCCCATCCTTTTCAGTGATACCAACCTCCGATGTCTGATCGGGTATCCGTAAGAAAGCTGTTGACTTTTGAATGATTTGTGGTAGAAAGAAACTGACAGCATCCCATTGCCGTTGTACAACAGGGAAGGCGGCCTAGTGTAAACCAATTCCATGTAAGCACTTGATCCACTGATGCCTTTTTTCATCTTACATACCTGAACATCCACAAATCCCATATCCGTGTCATGGACTCTCTTTGCAATGGCGTATAATCTTGCTGCATGAAGGTATCGATGGTTTTCAAGTGCATGCCATATCTGTAATTGCGTCACATGAGCCAAAGTCAACATACCACTTAGCACTACTTTACCTGTTCAGGTACATCAGCCAATGATTTGATCAACGCAGCAAGAGCAAAGAGATGTTGTCGTTTCTGATCTAAATCGTAAAGTGCATGGATCAATACCTTGTATACATTAATACAATAAGGATGTTCCTTACTGTGTCCTTTCTCGTATTGATCTGATCGAACAGCTTCAGCGCGTTTTTTGATTGTGGAGATGTCACAGGCTGTTTGCATGCTATCAAGCTTATCGAGGACGGCGTGGGCGTTCTTATTCATGGCAACAATGGCGTCTGCTGCTGATATAAGCTCGAGGTACTGTTCGCTGCAATATCATCCAAACGTGAGTTCTCCTTTACATACGTAGCCAATTCCTGACAGTATGCTTACCCAACCATGGATCGTAACTCTTGTTTCTGTGTCTCAATGTCGGCTCTATGAGGGGATGCCATTAGCGTGAGTCTAAAGGGTGTTTCAAGTCCATTCGCGTGTTATCCCATTACGCACCTTGTACGCTTCTCAATGGCTCGTACCTCGGCTACACTAGCCTCGACAAAGAGCTGATCAGGGTCATCATTGTGTTCGACTGTTGAATCGTCCTTGACCTGGGGTGATTTGGCCATTGCAAGGTTGGTGAAAGACAACGACGACGACAAGTTGCGGAGAGGAAAGGCACACAACCAAAGTTACTTAAATGGAAACCTGAAATCTCAATGCGCATGCAACTCTCATCAGCTGACCACTCAAAGCAAATCGACTACGCGATCTCAAAAATGCTGTCAATCTCGTGTATGGCAACATCGCATAGATTACTCGCTTACAATGGAGAACTCTAATATCCCGCTACTATCATCATTATCATATAACACCATGGCTATCAATGTAGTATATTATTGATTGTTGTTGTAATAAATAAAGAAGGGCTAAAGGACTGCCTTGGTCGTCATTTACCGGCATTTAAAGTTACACCAAAGAGACTAATGTCGACATCGCAGAACCGTGTGACCCACAAATTACGGATGCTTAAAAGAGATTGCGCAACCTGCAACACGTAAGCATTGCTCTTCTTTGTTTCTTTGTTCCTTTTTCTTTCTTATGAGTGAATCCCCAGTCAAGCTCTCCAAAGGCACTGTGCCAACCAAGGACACAAAAATCATCCTTGCAGGTGCTGTCAAGGTACCACCCATCGGTATGTATTGCTCTTTGCGTATCATCATGTGGTACGTAGTAGACAGGTGCCATTTGTATTAACGTCCACGCGTATTACTTTTAAAGCTATCGGTTGCTGGCAATGGGGCGACAAAGGAGGTATGTATAAATATCTTGCATCATACACCAAGTCACTAATAATCCTTTGCTGCATAGTATGGAATTGGACGCCTGAAGCAGAACAGGATGCCAAGGAGGCATTTGATGCGGCATTCCAGCTTGGTATTCCTTTCTATGACACGGGTAAGAAAAGGATGGTAGCATAGTAATACATGCATACGTATTCACGCACCATGGTTTATCATTAGCTGAGGTCTATGGTAAAGGAGAATCGGAACGTGAGATTTCAAGATTTCGAGAAGCATACAGCGAGGATGACCAGAAGAAGCAAGTGATCGCTACAAAGTATTTCCCCAACCAGGATCACACAGACTTTCCAGATGTGTTATTGTCTGCTCTTCGTGATTCGTTGGCACGTTTGGGTATACAAAAGGCCGATTTGTACCAGATTCATGCACCTATACATCCAGCATCCATTGCCACTGTTGCCAATGCATTAGCCGATGCACATGAAGCTGGCCTTGTCACCACTGTTGGCGTATCCAATTATGGTCTTGATGAGATTAAAGAGATGCATGATGCACTCAAGAAACGCGGCATTCAACTTGCTTCCAACCAAGTCTCGTTCTCGCTTGTTCGCACTATTCCAGAAAAGTCGGGACTAATTCAACTTTGTCACGACCTCGGGATTGCTATCCTCGCCTATTCTCGTGAGTCAAATAACAATAGCGTCATTTGTATTTTCCTTGTATTGCATAGCTCACTCATACATCCATAGCTATTGGTATGGGCTTGCTGACAGGCAAGTTTGGTGTGAATGGCCCCTTCCCCGAAGCTCGTAAAGGACATTGGGAAAAACTGGACAAGGAACAACTTGGTAACTTGCTCAACACTATCCAAGAGCTGGCAACGAAATACAGTCGTGAACCCAGTGCTATTGCTCTCAACTGGTGCATTGCCAAAGGTACCATTCCATTGGCTGGTGCTCGTACTGCACAACACGTGTATCAAAATGAAGCTGCCTTGGGCTTCCTCTTGTCCGACGATGAGATTAGTCAATTGGATCAATACGCGTTTGTAGGTGAAAACAACAACCGCTGGAACCATGGTTAAATAAACTTTATTGTGAATTGCCTCGCTTGTCGATTTTCATTCATCGTAATGCTTTGAGGCAGCAACAGTATGCATGATTTGAGGTATTCAGATATGGACATGGCGAGTTGTGTAGGATTTTAAACTCAATGGCTAGTGGTCGAGTTGCTCGCTTCGTTTTTAAGCATGATTTCTCTTTGACCGGTTTAACACTGCCTATGGAGTAATGATCTTAAGATAAGCTTACACGTCCATGCAGCCACATAGTAATCTCATAGTATTCTCACAGGAACCTGCAACCCTTTACTTTATCCATATTTACAGCAAGAGTCAGGGCATGAACCGTACACCATACTTTTGTTCCCCCCGTTCTACATGTATAGCTTCCCATTCAAAATTTTGATAATAAACCATGAAGTCTTTATGATAACAAAAATTCAAGAGGTCGACCCGATTCCAGTTCGGGCTGGTGGCGACATTTGCGAAATCTGGGATTGGCACCACGATCGTGAAACCTGCACACATGGTTTCTTTGACCCCGACGAGTATGTTGTTCTATTAAAGAGCCCACGTTTGATTGTAAAGTTTGGAGATACAGGCACCTTTATGTTTGTAAGCGTGATGCTATATGAAGAGTGGTCTTTGTCCATTGTCAAGTAGCTAGACCCTGACAGAGCAAAAGATGCAGCGGGTCGCGTTGTGTAGCACAGCTCATTATGCATGACTGGAAGGATGGAAGAATGATGCTGTATACTATTGACAACAGCTCATACATTGCGAGCTAACAGCAATTTCCTCACAATGGGTACTGTTGCCCACTCTATGACATGTGAGCGATTCTCCTCCTCAAGACATTCATTTCCATGATTCAAGTAGGTTGATCCGAGCTGATTTGGCTGAGCTACGGTCAAAGAGAGATTACATCAATCCACACATCAGCATACATTCGAACGTCTCAGCTGATTAATCCTTGTTCGGCCGTAACTCAACCAAATCAGCTCGGATCAACCTACTTGAATCATGGAAATGAATGTCTGGAGCACGAGCATCATTCCCATCACGTGGATTTCGTAACAATGCTGATTGGATAAAAGTGGCTATTAGCTGCCAATGTATGACATAAAGGTGAGGGTTGCGTACCTATCATGCATTGTCCCTGAAGTCCTGACTTTTTAGCTGAGTTACCCAAAGAAGTCCTTCTGCATCTTTGGCTCTCCAGGGCCTAGCTACTTGACAATGAACAAAGACCACTTCTCATATAGCATCACGCTTACAAACATAAAGGTGCCTGTATCTCCAAACTTTACAATCAAACGTGGGGTTTTTATTAGAGCAACGTGCTCGGCTTGGCCAACTGCACCTTGGGTGCCAGTTTCACGATCAAGCTTGCCAATCCCAGATTTCGCAATGTCGCCACCAGCCAAACTGGATCTGGGGGTCGACCTCTTCGACGACGACGACCAAAGAAATATTTTTTGGGCTGTTTGCGACATTGAACGTGAAACTTTCACACAAGGTGTTGCTGGCCAAGCCGTGAGCCCATTGCTCTATTCAAAAGCCCACGTTGCATTGTAAAGTTTGGAGACACAGGCAATTTTACGTTTGTAAGCGTGATGCTATATGAAGAGTGGTCTTTGTTCATTGTCAAGTAGGTGGACTCTGGCAGAGCAAAAGGTGCAGAGGGTCGTGTTGTGTAACACAGCTACGTTTGCATGAATGAAAGGGTCAATGTATAATTACTATGGATCATCTAGGAACAGGCATGTATTGCTAGCTAACGGCCACTTTTATCCAATCATCATTGTTGCGAGATCCACTGCATGCTGCTCCCTGCTCTAGACATTCATTTCCATGATTAAAGTAGGTTGATCCGAGCTGATTTGACTGAGCTGCGGTCAAAGAGAGATTAAGATCACTCTGACATAGAGCACTCCTCGATGTAGCTCAACCGATGTAATCTTGTGTGAGCGTAACTCAACCAAATCAGCTCGGATCAACCTACTTTAATAATGGAAATGAATGTCTAGAGCAGGAGCATCGTCCACGTACAATAGAATGCACAAAAGTTGGGAATGCACAAAAGTGGCTATTAGCTGCCAATGTATGACATAAAGGTGAGGGTTGCGTACCTATCATGCATTGTCCCTGAAGTCCTGACTTTTTAGCTGAGTTACCCAAAGAGGTCCTTCTGCATCTTTGGCTCTCCAAGGTCTAGCTACTTGGCAATGAACAAAGACCACTTCTCATATAGCATCACGCTTACAAACATAAAGGTGCCTGTATCTCCGAACTTTACAATCGAACGTGGGGTTTTTATTAGAGCAACGTGCTCGGCTTGGCCAACTGCACCTTGAGTGCAAGTTTTACGTTCATCGTGGCCAATCCCAGATTTCGCAATGTCGCTACCAGCCAAACTGGATCCGGGGGTCGACCTCTTGAAACTTTTCTCGACGACCAAAAAATATTTTTTGGGCTGGTTGCGACATTGAACGTGAAACTTTCACACAAGGTGCTGTTGGCCAAGCCGAGCCCATTGCTCTAATAAAAAACCCACGTTTCATTGTAAAGTTTGGAGATACAGGCACCTTTATGTTTGTAAGCGTGATGCTATATGAGAAGTGGTCTTTGTTTAATGTAAAGTAGCTAGACCCTGACAGAGCAAAAGATGCAGAGGGTCGTGTTGTGTAACACAGCTACGTTTGCATGAATGAAGGGGTCAATGTATAATTACTTTATGGATCATCTAGGAACAGGCATACATTGGCAGCTAACAGCCATTTTTATCCAATCAGCATTGTTGCCCAACCCACTGCATACGAACGATTCTCCTGCTCCAGCCCATCATTTCCATCTTTTCATCTTCTTGATCCGAGCTGATTTGACTGAGCTACGCTTGAACAGCGAACATGTTTATTCTTGAATCGCAGACCCTGCGAATGTCTCCGTCTCTCAAACTTTTGGACGCTCCCATTCCAAATTTTCAAATGAAGCGTGAGGTCTTTTTTAGAAAAAGTTGATCAACATGATTGAGAGCATCCTTATGACCAATTTTCAAGTTGGAGGTGGGCAACTTCGGGGCGGTGGGCCGTCCACTCTTTTGTTCCCGTCATCCACCATTTGGACCTCCCCGCATTTTAGATCTTCACAATGAAGCCTGTGGTTTTTAAATGAATGATGTTGATCAGCATACCCGAGATCACCTTATGTGAAAGTTTCATGTTCGAAATGGGGAACCCAAGGATAATACATACTTTTCATGAATCATGAATCCGGCGCTGACCTCCATTTCCGACCTTCATAGTAAACCCCACATTGTACCCTCTCATTCTAATTTTTATAATGAAGTACAGGTTCTTTTTTAATACAAAGTTGATCAGCATGACCAAGAGCATCTTGTGTGAAAGTTTCAAGTTCGAGAGGGGCAATCTCAATATCAAGGTTTGGATGTACAGTGTTCATGCATTTATACAAGAGGTGTCCGCCCTATTTAATTTCCACTCCTTCCACTCGCCGACTTCTTGTCTCTTCCTCCATTCTCAACTGTTGACCCATTCAAGTACAACTACCACCATGCGAACGATTGTCCTGCTTCAACCCATCATGTCATTCCTACAACTGCCTTGATCCGATTGTCTTTGACTGAATGGCAAGGCCATGGCGTGTACACAGCCCTCTTGTTGCTCTACTACAACACACGCTCTTGCACGCTCCTCTGCCACAATCAAACGTATCAGCGTTCATTGCAGCAATTGCTATTAGCAAGGCCTTCTCTTCATTGTCTCAAACAGCGTTCTTTACTTGCAGCAACGAGTATCACGGCCTTGTCACGTGGACAGCAGATAGCCATTATATACAAGCAGCTTTATTTACGTTGTAGCAATTTGCTTCAATACATACAATTATGGATATGGATATGGACATTGGTTTGATATATGGGATGGAAGGAAATGGATATATACAACGCGTGGAAAAGGAGCCTTTGTTCTTCTGTCTCGATTGTCACTTGGCTTTGACGCTTCATCCTGAACGAGTGGTGCATTCAATTAGTGCACCATTATCCTCTGTGCAACCTGTCAACCAACTACAACCATCATCATTCAACTACATATGCATATAGCTCGCCACCTCACATTCATCCATTCACCTTTGCACAATACTTCCCCAAAGGATAGAAACTTGCCGAATGCATATTCTCAATTGAAGCTTTTTGTTGTACCACTCAATCTATCTCTCTTGTGAATGTTGATGTTGGATTAAAGGATAAGGAATACGAGATTGCGTTGGCTGCAAAGCTTCTATAGCGTGCAGAGACCTTCCTTGTTCCTACGCTGGACCTCGTCATTTGTGTGCAATTGATTGTATTATAAAAAGGTGTATGCACGATTGTAGAAGCATATCCACTTGTTAATGCTGTGATAAGGAAAAGAGAGGAAGAGGAAAGATTCTAGCCGATCCCTTGCTTCTTGGACAAGGCTGTATTCGATAGTACAACTCTCCTCGCATGTGATTAAATGTTACCTATACACTGCAACACGCGCTCCTTTTGGTTATTATTATTATACGGCAAGACAAGCAAGTATATAGTAATGGATGATACCTTGCTTCCTTTTACGTCAAAGGGATCAAAGGGTAATCCTTCCTTCTATTTGATCCTTACACATGAATGGAATAATGTCTTTATAGCAAGTAACAAATCTGAACTTTTAATAAGTGATGGGTGATAATGTGACTATATACATGGGAAGATTATGCGTTGTTGTATGTTCCAAAGACCATGATTATTGACGGGTAATAAGCAAAGAAGTATCGCATGGGAAATGAGAATGATGCTGATAATGAGAAGAAAACGTGAAGCGATTAGAGCCATGATGGAGTATGTTCGCGGCTGTAGATAGAGGTGCTGGTATTGGATGATGTCGTGTTTTGATCGGATGTTGGTGGGCTGCTGGATCGTTTTGCAAATTCAGCTCCATGGGTTTCGATAAGCTTTTCCACCTTGCTACGCATACTCGTATTGATCTTGTATACTTTTCGGGAAGAGCGTGTCTCACATTCGACAATATGGCGTGTCAACTATGATCATGCATTGTCAGGTTGATTTCTTCTTCCACCCCCCTCCCCATCCATCGTAACTTACATTGCGAGCCAGTTCCTTGAATAGCTCCTTATCATCATTCCACAGCGATTTCTTTCGGCTCAAACACTTTCTGACAAGGTCGCTGATCTCCATTTTGAGCTGTTTATCCGATAAAGGTGCACCACTTTCCTCTTTGCTGATGCTGGATAAGCTCTTGCTAGTGATACTACTGCTGCTCTTGCTGCTCTTGAGGCTCTTTTTATCCACCGATGTCTGTTTCTTGTGCTCCATTGCTTTTTCCACCAAGTCGTCAATTTGAACCTGATCCACACCTTCAATCGAGCTCGTTTTCTCTTCGGGTAAATGCCATTGTGTGACACGAGTGATACGGTTGTAATAGTAAATTGTGCCATCTTCAGCATGTGCAGATCTCCAATTTGGTGGAAGTGGTAACCGATGGCGGGGTTGACGAGGAGGTGATAGGCGGCGAGGTGGAGGATGACGATCAAATATCCGGTCGTGATAAGACGTATATCGATGGGGTGGGGAATACACGCGAGGACGCCGATCAGAGAAATATGCATGATTAAAACTGGTTGGGGTATTTGGGGAGAAATGACGTTTTCCAAAAACCATCCCGTTCTCTCGACGGCCAAGGAGGTGTGCTTTTGATTCAGATGGTGTTGTTGCAGTAACAGGAGCAGCCGTAGGTGGATATTGAATGGCTGTTTGAATATCAGATGAATTGCTCTCGGGAGAAATGTACTCGAACATATCGTCATCGGGATCAAAGAAATCACGTGTAGAGTCGAATCGTCGCTTCTTGTTGCATGGGTCAACGCTGCTTTCATGAGAACCTCGTTTGCGATCGGTCATAATCACATCCCCTAAACGCATGGTTAACAACAAGATCATATCACTTAAAAACGCTTCCACTTACCATCTGCATCTTGTTCGGTTGGGGAAGCAAATTTGGTATTGGAGGGCTATAACCAGCACATTGGTTAATTTTCGTTTTACATGAGAGCGCGCTCTTCACTTACCGTGCGCTTCGGGATGCGATACACAGATTTAAGCCCACGCCAATTTGCCATGAGTTCTTGCGCCAATTCATTGATATCCACATCATCGTGATCCACAAACCGATTCATTACTTCAAAGAACTTGCAATCTTCTAGCCCGTTGCGATTGGCGAGAGGTAATTGTTTCAGTACACGTAGTACCTAGAAAAGAAAGAGAGTTAATAATTGGTTTTGGATCCCCTCTTATCTACTTTATACCTTTTTGATAATGCTATCATTGCTCTTCCAATCACCAAGCCATAGCTTGAGCATTTTAAGTCCATGACATCGCACAAACATCTTGAGGACATCCTTGCTCTCCTTTGCCATAATCGTCACCTCCAGCGTTTCCAAGAGCTTGTTGACCAAATCCACATTTCCTTCAGAGTCAAGCATGGCCTTGACAAAGCTCCGTACATCGTCGGCATCCTCAAGAGGTCGTATAGCACGTGCTTTGGTACTTCGCTTCTTTGTGCGTGAAGATGCTGCCACCCTCTCTTCTTCCCAAGGAGCTGCCGATTCTTGATCACCTTGCGACACACCTCCAATGACCCCTTTGCATGATTCTTCTCCACAGAAACACGTTTGAGCATCCCTTTTCGTAATATGTGTAAGTAACATGCTGTGCTTATCCTCCTCAACCATCATGCAGCTTACCCATAGCGTTCAAATTGATAATCAAAGGTTATTTCTTGACCAGCCTTGACGGGGCGTCGGGTGAAAATACCCACTCGCATGGATTTTCCAACGACCCACTTTTGAGTAACGCAATTTGGATTGCAAGAGTGATTGATAAAGCGAGCAAGACAACCCTTCTTTGTCGCATCAATGATCTATGTATTGTTGGTCAGCGATCAGCGGTTATCATGTATGTATCCTATACCATACCTCATCGGTATTCAAGGTCATGGAATAATGGTGTTTGAGCCCTTCATTTTCATATTTCTTGGTACGTCGTATAAATTCATCCCTGGAAATGACTTCTCCAATGTACTCCATCACAAATGCATTCCTACATACATATATAAGCATTCTGCCTTGTTGATCGATGATCCATACACGTGACCCACTTACGTTGGGAGATCCGCTAAAGCGCGTAAGCCATATCCCTTCTTTTCAGTATGAATAACATCCACACGAGCGTATTGTCGCAGCTGGAAACGACGATTGAGACAATGACGACCACAGGAACAATCGTTTTCAGTGCATTCCATAAACATCATGCGATTGATACAGGCATTGTCATCACCACATGCAGCGATGGGATCATCCAAATCGGGATTGTATTTGCAATCACATGGCATGGACTCCACTCCAGTGAATGATACGCTCCTTGCTTGACCTCGATAGACATTGTTCAACAGATGCACGTAGGTCCCCATAGCTTCGGCTGTTGCAGATGGTTGTATCATGGCATCATGTCCCTCTACATGTCAACCGCCAAAATTAGATTTCATTGTTGTGTAAAGGTTTTAAGGGGGGTTGATTAGGATTGTGCATTTACCAGAATCGGAGAATGATGATGATGACATTGACACTTCTTGTTTGACATGTTCATCCACTGGAGATGTTGTATCTTGAGGCGTGCTGACGATGCTATCCGATCCACTCGAATCAGGGGTAGTCTCATAACGTGCTTTGCTGATCACCATGGATTCATGCATATCATCCGGCTTGTTCATTGCCGCCTGCCACATGTCATTTTCAATAGCGTCGCTGGGTGTCTTTGGTGAATCGCCATGAACGCCGGTGATGGTTGCTATGGTCACAACATCCAAATTAAGCCATTGTAAGCAAGCAAAAGAGTGATGATGATGTTACATACCAAGTTTTGTATCCCCAAACGATGCGTTTCCATTATGTTCGATGCTTACAGCTGGAACATCACTATCATGCACCACCAATTCGTTAATACAAAATATATCCGAAGCGATCGTCCCACAGATCAACACAACAACAACTCTCCAACCATGCCGAGACTGCAATGGAAGAATGGGGGTGCTCATTTACCTTATGGTTGTGTCGTGCATAATATTCCACGAGAGGTATACGGAGAGAGAGAGAGAGGTTCCAGAGAGGGAAAACGGAGCGATCAGAGACTTGACCAATACGATCGCAATGGCCGGAAGGGTGTATGAGGTATAACGACAGGAATGAAAGGTGAGATCGACACGTGGGTGCTTATTCGAGTACTGATCCTGGCGATCGAGTGTATAAAAAGATCGAAGGAAAACACTTTTGTAAGCTCCAAGTCCGAATAGCCTGAAATGTTGGTGGTGGTCATCCATCTCCATCATCACCATCACCATAGCAACAGTTGCGAATCTTATTCATATAGTCATAGATGCATATATTGAATGTGGATGGGGTTTCTTTTTTGAATGATGATAAAGATGAGAATGCTGATTTAGAAGGGAACCTTGGCGATCAACGACTGAGAGGTTGAAAAAAAGGGTATCAATTAGGCTGCTTTGTTGTGGTGTACAGATTCCAGTCGCTCGAAATGCGGCCGAGCAGCAGCAATATTCATTTGTGTTGCAGCAGGTGCTATGAGCAAGAGAACATTGCATATAAGAATCATACTTCAAAAATGGAATTGCTCATTTCAATCTTACTTATTGAGGGATCCGAGATAATCATCATGACGCACGTGTTGCGAGTAAGCGTGTCAATGTAGGCTGTAAATGTGCTGCCTCGTATCACCATGGTCTTGGAATGTGATTGCTGCCTAATGAGAAATAATGCCCATGCCTATGAGTATCTCTCCTCCTCTTCGTCATCAGCTTGCTCGTCTTCCTTACCTGGCATTCAGGTTGAATTGCTTGATGATATTGCTTATCTTTTCAAATCGATGTATATCCGGATGATGTACTGTGGCAGCATTGGCGATTACCAGGAAGGTGGTTCGTTCAAAGAGCACAACTTCATCTGCACAGCAAATTCGACAAAAGTTGTTGAGATTCGTCTCCAGTGCTCGGATGTTCGGTATCAAACAATGAATGATATGCGCCCATGCCTAAGATGCACAATGAATCCTCCATTGAAATGATTTCCCTCCCTTCAAGCTTCTTACTTACCGCATAAAGTGTCTCATCCCAAATCGATGTCTGAAAAGCTTCAATTTGAATCGGCTCTGATCGAACTTGTAACTCCTTTTTGTGATCAAAAAAGACCTTTGATGATGATGACTTAGCACGATCCCTCATCGCTTGTACATGTATGTATACATACCTTGTTCCTGCTATCCTCTTGGATCAAATCCATCTTGTGTATCAAGCAAAAGACTTTGGCGTTTGGCGAATAGGTCAAGATAGACTCGAGACATGACTGATAATAGTGGATATCCTTATCGAGCTCAGCACTGATCACGTCAAACACATATATCAGCACTTCGACGCCTTTGAAGATTTGGTGATTGTGGGTCGTCAAGTAGTTGTTGAAGAAAGCATCCTGGCTGAAGAGCACGTGATGTGAGCATTATAGTAGTAAGACTGCAAGTTGCTTGAATATCATACCCGCCGCAATCCCATAGGTTCAGTGACAGATTACCAAGGAACTGGACATCCGAGCTCTCAATGCTGACTAGTTCAAGTGTCAATGGAAGCGATTGCACGGTGGTTGGTGGAGCATTGGCTTACTTGTTGGTCCCAATTCACGAGTTTTTCGAGCGACATTGTTCTCAAAGATTATAGACCGCATGGAAGTCTTTCCAGCACCACCCTTCCCCATCAACAAGACCTAAGAGATGTTCGTGAGCACATGCAGGCAACAATAAAAGGGTCGAGATTTCAACTTTTTGTTACCTTTTTCATGATACAGAGTGCGCGTGAAGGAAAGAGCTGGATAATGATGATGGTGCGGTAGGCAGCAGCAAGCAGCGCATGGAACTTCAGGGCACATGCTCCTCCCGCGTGACATTCGGAGTCATGGCAAGTGTCACGCATGTGTCTCACCACCACCACTGTTAACATTGCTACCAATGTTGTCGACTGCTAAAGTACCAAATAAACCACCACAGAGTCAAACCATCATTCCATCTTGTTGTTGTGTGTTGTATCGATGAGTAACAGAATATGCATGCATCATGCAATCTCGTTGCATTTTCATGCCGCCATCCCACATCATGCTGACATTTGTCTTGTCATACATCATTGCTTCAAGCAATGCTCCCTTGTCTCTCTGGTGGCACCATGAAGATATCGTACCATTCATTTTCCAACACCATCTTCTTGTCTTTGGTGTCTTAAAAACTTCCAAGGATGCAGCCGTCATTGCAAAGTATATAGCATCATTCTATGACATCAAAATACCGTCTTAAGTGACTCACATTAACAACAATCCACTCTCTTTGATATCATCGAGCATTTTCGATCATCTACCCTACTCTAGTACACCTCTTATAGGTGGATCACGTCATGACCACAGGTAACAAGCAACGACGTACACGCATCGTTCCACTGCTTTTAAATACGGCATCCAATGTACGTCTTTAGGCGAGCTCCTCTGAAGCTTGCTTAGTGGGTCGGCTCAAATTTTCTCGGCCATCATCATATGGCTTTGGTCACCAAATGCATGTTGAGGAATTGGTCTGCTGCTTCATCCGGTGTTTTTGATTCAATCATACCTGAATGGCGTATCATTGTTCTTGCGATAGTGGATAATTTTTGGTTGTTGGTATTGCTATAATTGGGTCATGGCTGCTTTCAGCACTCGAAGAAGTAAACATATACACTTTCCATTATTGTGAGTAGACCGACAATGACAACTCTCTTTGTAAAGTGACTGATTGATTTCATTGTTACAACATGATGATGGATATTGTTGCCTTCCCAAATTTGGCCAAGTCATGTACGATGGATAGCATTATGCCTAGATTTGTTGGCGTAGGCAATCACCCACCCAATTCCATGCTTCCATCCTCCTCAGCAAAATACATCACTTTACATATCCTCTTTATGGTCATTTATTCAATGATTACATGTATATGGATTCAAAGAACCTATTCTATGCTTTCCTATCATCCAATTCCATCCTCTTCTTGATATCAGTCATATCATAAAACGTGCCGTCGTCATGGAGACTTGATTGTTGATGACTCATAAACGTTTTGCCGCATGATGCTGCTGCTGATACTTCCACACTTGCGAGAGCAGGAGCGAGATCAAGAAGAGGAAGAGCAATCATCAAGGATAAGGTATAGCTTCATGATCAGCATCGATGATGGCCCCTGACAACAAGGATAATACGGACATGGCGACCGTTGCGAGGGTGCCTGCTTGTGTTTTTAATATCCAAGGTGGCAGTGAGCGGGGGAACGCATTATGATTCGTTGAGTATTTTCTCACCACAGAGTACGATCACCGAGTCAGTTTCCGCCGACCACTTTCTTTCCTTGTTTCACTCTTACGAAAATGTCGATTGGAGCCGTTGTTAGACAAGCAGCCAACAATTCAGCAAAGAGCAGTGCCGGTTCACGTTTACGGTTGAGAAAAGCAGCATTGACACTGGTAAAGCATAACGATTGGGATAGATCGACAGAGGTGTAGATTTGTCAGCATGGAGGAGACTTACTTACATGGCCTATCGTTATAGACACCAGCAGCTGTGGGACGACTAAAGAACTTGACGAGTGGACCAACACCTCAGTATCTACGAGTGGGTGTGAAGCAAAAGGGATGTTCAGGCAACTCTTACATGCTTGAGTTTACCGACTCAAAGGGCAAGTTTGATGAAGTGGTGCAACAAGATGGTATGTTTTGTTCTTTTTTGTCGGGTTGCATATACTCATCATTCATCTATGGGATGATCCCGGATATAGGTGTCACCGTACTCGTGGATTCCAAAGCATTGATTACGATTCTTGGATCAGAGATGGATTATGTCGAAGATAAGCTGTCGTCTCAATTCGTATTCCATAATCCCAATGCCAAAGGTGTCTGTGGATGTGGTGAATCCTTTGCAGTGTAATCGTCGTCGTCATCATCGTCACCAGTAGCAACAGCATACCAACCTCCCATTATCAGTACTACAACATTTATATACACACTCGCACACACGTACACACACACCTTCGCATAGATGCATTCTCGTTTATATATCGCCCCTCTCTTTCTTTCTTTTCCCACTTGTATCGACCATCCTCCCAACTATATAAAATTATATCATTGATGTTGAATTGTTGGATCCATGCACGTAAAGAGAGACTACAAAATGGGATGAGTATATGTAATAGGAGGTCTATAGATATATAGACACGCGCTGTTAGCTGGCTACTTGTTATGCAGGCACCATATGGTCTTTGGACATTTGCAGGTTGCAGGACAAAACACGGAGATGAGCTGAAGCGAAGGGGTGTGGTCTCTCTATACTATACATATCCCATCCTTCTCTTTCCCTCCTCCTCCTCCTCCCCCCAATAATCATCCATCACCTCGTCGCCAAAGTTTTACCGACACGGAAAAAGAAGAAGAAAATGATGATCGACCAACATCAGCCCATTGCCAAGAAGCGGATAATGTTTGTTGTTGGGCTGGGATGGAGAGTTGCCCGACCCATGAAAGGATGCTCTTTTTGGAACAATGTAATATCCTTGTACACATACTCTCTTTGCCGTGCACGTACTTTTACTCACTCGCCCGTTTGCGATGATTATTAATGCGCCCTTCCTTTTTCTCTCGCTCTTCTACCCTTCTCTTTTATCCATAGTCTTTTGTCAAATGAAATGCAGCCTTTGAATAGGAGAATCCTTATGAGAGAGAGAGAGAGATTAAAAACCTGTGTTTTACAGAAAAACCTGAGCCTAACCACACGCAATGTAAAAAAGAAAAAAAGGGGTTGGGCGGGATGAATTGCATGAGATACGCTATACCAACTTTGGGGGGTGAGGTGGTTGATGATGATATTGAATCATGATGATGGCACAAGAAAAAAGTCTATTATATATCTTTGAATCATGCTAGCTTCAATGTTGAGTACTATCCTTTGGGATGCCAGCTAGATAAGGATTATCCTCCTCGTCGTCCTCGTCTTCAAAGATTCCCCATACGCTTGGAACATGGTTTTCAATCAAATCCTTTTCCTTGTGATACCGTGCATGCCATCCTTCGAATCCTCCTCGTAATACCATCACCTATTTACCATATATCAACATGCGTGTAAATGATGAATGAAGATGAATGAAATTACCTTTTGTACATCCTTTTCGCCTGTCAGATGACGTACTTCATTATAGATGCGTGCTGCCTTGGGTCCACGTTGTTGTGAAAGTGCACAGTGAAAGTAGACTTGGGGTACTGCCTTGTATTTTTCAATCAGCTCATTGACGCGATCGAGCATTTGGTTTGCGGGGACATTGATAGCACCAGGAATGTTGCCACCCTATTGAAACTCGATGGTCAGTTTGTTGAGATGGAGGCATAATGAGTCGATTGGGGGTTGGATACTTGCATAAAAGTCCTTATCGCGTACGTCAATAATGACATAGTCTTTGCCTGGGACTTTAGTCTTGTCGCGTAAAAGTGTTACAAGTTGGTCACTTTCGATATATGGGGCTACATAGGACATGTTGGATGATGGGGTTCTTGTGACAAGCTGCTTTGTTGGTGGTGGAGTACAAGGTCAACGGAGTAAGAAAGTTGATGCAAGAGATCAACAGCACGTGCAGATCAATGTCCCACCACTTGGCATTCCCAGCACGCAGCAGCAGCAGCAGCAAACAGCACTTTATACTTATACCTTTATGCATACGCACACCCACAGCTGATAAGAATTACAGTGAACGTGTTGTGTCAGTTGCATATGCCGATACTCAGTACAACGTTTCTAAGCAACAGCAAATATGCGGGTTGTATGCAAGAGCTAAAGGAGCAACAACATCATGATTATCATGAGCAAGGGCAAGGATCCCAAGGAAAGGGGGCGATGGTTTCCTATCTAGAGTAGCAAATAAAGTATAAATGGATACCTTACTAGGATGATGATGATCCCATTGCAAACGTTGTAGTGACCAAAAGTGGATCGTATTGTATTATGGATGATGATTAACACCGGGCGGGGAATGATGTATCACAACAACGACAACAACAAGAGCAACAGCAGATCGGATGCTGCAGCATCATAAATCAACAAAGCGGTTAGAGAAAAGTGCGTGTGGTGGATGAAACATCGTTAAACTAGCAATAAGCTAATATGCAGGATGGGGGAAGGTACCTTTGTATCCTTACTAAAAGAAAGAAGCCCGCCAGACCCTGTTGACCAGTAAAAACGTCCCACTACAAGGTGTCCTAGCTAACACATGCTTGAACAAAAAATCCATCATGAAGCGGATCACATCTTTCGAAAAAAAGAACGACGCACTTGTGCAATGTACACTTTACAACATGGTTACACCGACGATAAGTCAACTGGATCAGCACACTCATCTTATTAAAATCCGGCACTAAGAGGAGCACATCATTACAACAGTCCCGCTCATGATTCTTAGCTTTACTCATTTTAGCGTGTATCAAGCAAAAAGACGAGATCAATGTACGCCATGATGTTACCAGGATCAATCTTTTGAGGTATTATAACGGGGTTTGTCATAGGGAAGGATGATGATGATGATGATGGGCAAAGTAAAGCAAGTATACCAGCACACCCCATGAATGTGTGGATGATGCGGGCGCGTACCGAAATAGGCATGGGCGACAATATCGGTTTATTGGGATTCAGTGATGGTTACACGGAGAGCAAATCGGTCTGTGATGTTCCCTTTGACCCCTTGTCTAGGCTCCTTTGACCCCCCAAGTGAGATGCCATCACTATAAAATTGAAAAACTCTATGCGATGCTTTCGTCCCTTTCTCTTTTTTACATTTTCCCCCCTTTTGTTGTTGCGCTTTCCGCCTGTTCCCTTCCGACAGGTTGTTCTTGTCTTTTTTTCTTTATCTCTCTCTCTCTCTCTCTCTACTCTCTACCTTCTCTCTACTCTCTCTCTCTCTCTCTCTCTTAACAACACCAACAACCACCTATACACAAACACCGCTTGCACAAGATGAGGTTACTCACCTACCCATTTGAGCTTGTTGCACCGATGGTTGCCATTAGCTCCATTCTCCTGTTGTTGTTGGGTCCATTGTTGATTCCTCGCTTTTACCTCGGCTTTTTGCTTGTCTACTTTACATGTTTCCTGTACTCTCAGATCAACCATGTCTTCAAGTTTTGGATCACTGCCTCGCTTATGAAAAAGAAGATCCGCAACTGGAACGTGTCACAGCAACGCGCCGCTGGTGCAGAGCGATCGCCACCTACGCCTAGTACACCCAACCATAATAACAGCCACAACCGTGAACGATGTACCAGCATTGTGGATGATGAAAGACTCAATGAGATGGAAGCGTCGTTAAAGGAATACGAAGATTCTCAGCTTGTGCATGCGTTCATTGTGCCTAATTATGCTGAGCCGGAAGGACTTTTGAGAGACACGATCAAACGCTTGGCAAATCACAGGTACGGTGTCACAAAAAGTGCACGGTGGGGGCTGTTTGAGCTGCGAGTGGAGGAAAATGTGGTTGCACATGAGACTGTGACCTGAAAGCAAGCCATGCTAAATTCGTTCTTTATCCAAAACAGAAACGCACAAACAAACTATGTCATCGTGCTCGCCATGGAAGCTTCCGAGTTGGGTCATGAAGCCAAGGCCGAAAGCTTGGCGGAGTACTTTAAGGACAGCTTCCTCCATTTCATCGTCACTGTTCATCCTTCCGACATTCCCGGTGAATCGCGTGGCAAAGGCTCCAATGTCTCTTATGCTACTCGTGTTGCTTGCTCTGAAATCGTACGTCGAGGCATCGATCGTAGAAGAGTGGTCCTTACTATTTCCGATTCGGATTCTTCTATCCCAGAGCTTTACGTCAATGAGGTAAGATGATGCTGATGAAGGGGGGGAGAGGAGGGATAAAAGTATATGACGAAACTAGTGTATATGCGGAGAAAAAAAAACATACTCACACTCAGGCACACAAATCATCCACTCATTCACTCACACATTGATTCCATTCATTATAGCTGGAAAAAGCTTTCACCCAAGCTGACGATCCCCATTTTCTCTTGTACGCCCCACCCATCTTCTTCTCACGTAATTGCTTTGATGTTCCGGCAGCCGTGCGTATGACGGATATTACTTGGTCTGCTATGGTGATGGCCAATCTCAGCAACAGCCGTGGTATCAGCTTCCCTTGCTCAACCTATAGTATCAGTCAAGTGTTAGCCGAACGTGTTGGTTTTTGGGACACGGATGCTGATTCGGTGGGTGAAGATATGCACATGATGTTGAAGTGTTTCTTCAAGACCGATGGCCTTGCACGTTGTCAACCTATCTTTGTACCTATCAACCTCACCAATGTTCAGACCAATGGATACCTCTCCAACATGTATGCTCGTTTCGTCCAAGCAAGTCGTCATTACAATGGTGTCGCCGATGTCTCTTACACTTTGCGTAATGCTTTCGGTTTCGGTCGCGGTGATTCGGTAGCAGATAGTGTGATGGCTGTGAAAAAGTCATCCATTTACGCGTCGCCTACGTTTTGGATTGACAAGTTGATTGTATGCATCAAAGTATTGGAAGCCCATATGATCCCTGTCACATCAGGATGGCTCATGTTCGCCGCTGTACCGCTTATGCAATTCGTCATGTTCCCTCCTCACGCCATGGTGGCCATCATTGACCCAGCCAATAATCCAATTCTCACCTCGGATTTCTACGCAACACTGTGGAACATTGTCAAAATTATCACCGTCTTCTTGCCCTTCCCACTCTTCGCAACACTTGCCATCTACGAGAATTTGCATCGTGTTGTGGATCGTGAATTGTATCGCAAGGTCAAGGTTGAATCTCGTACTTGGCGCAATTGTTTTGATTACATCTCGTTGCCCATTGCCGCATGGATGTTTATGACTATCCCATCTACCATTGCCGCTCTCAAACGACTCTACAAGACAAACGACCAGTACATTGTTGCTGAAAAGTTTTTCCAAGAAGATGATCGCAACGACTAATGGGGGGCGGACGTCGTCTTCATCATTTCTTTTACTCTTCTTCACCACCCCCTGGTTACCCTGTTCATTCCTCTCTCTCTCTCTTTTTCTCTCTTATCTGGTGCATTCTCATTCTTCTCTTGTTTTTCCACCCAACTTGCTTCTCTCTCACACACACACTTTACATTACTAGATATATTCCCTTTAATTGGTAATCGATGTATTATTGCTTTTTCTTTTCCATTGCCCGTTTGCACCAGATTTAGGGATTTGTATCTTTTGCCTATTTTTTCTTTCGCTACTTTTATCTCGCTTCCTATCTAATCTTGCTTTTGCATTACTCAGGCACCCCATTTTTCTTTCTCTTTGCCTGTTCAAATCACACACACACACACTCCATTCATATCCCTTTTGCAGCGCGCATTTCTTTTGCCTACTTGTTCTTATCTCTCTGATGTCTAATGTAAACCAACAAATCGTCTCATTATCATATTTACATATACACATTATACATGTCTGTTGTTATTTTTGATCTGCATTCCGTTGTGTGTGTGTGTCACTGGGTCGTTGTTCAATGTTATAGATTCCCGAATACAGCACCCATTTGTGTGTGTGTATGTCCCAGACGCCCAAATGTCAACCTATTTTGTCATGCAAACAAGACACCTTTTTTGTGTGTCATACGATATCATTGAGCTTAAAGGAGACAGTGTGTGGTGTTGGTACCACCATTCCTTTTACCCTGTCCTCCCCATCTTATGGATTTCCTCGATCAGAATGCATGGCAAGGTCAAAATGATTGGGCTACGTTATACAACAGCGAGTCGTACTTTGTGCGACCATGATCGATAAGAGATGGTCCATGGCTTAACTTAAAACAGAGAAAATAGCTCGCATTTTATCCATTTGCAGCTTGGTGTCACCCGTCGCCTTGGCGATAAAGATGCTTTTGGGGGGTCATAAAGGATATAATTATACACGGGCTACAAAGCCAATACTATGTATCCGGAGCGATGTTTACACCTATTCTTTTCACGGTGTGGTGAACGTTTCAAGTAATGTTGTTGGCTAAACTCCCCTTGTGTCATGCCAATTTTGTAAAAGTAACGCCACAGCCTATTGTGGTGGGACAATACGCTCACCCTATTTGACTAGCTGTGGGAAAAATTGGTTGATCCACTGCTATACTTTCGTTATCTCGCTTAGTGGAGAGACACACAGACACACATGCTATCATTCTTTCTTGATTTCTCCCACAATGTGTTGTCATATGAGATGGATTGGATCAATTTTCTGAGTCATGAGATGATGTAGGTATGTACCTGTGGGCATCATCATAGAGAGCCACCCCACACTACTACCACCACAGATCAAGAAGATGCATCATCATACTAACGTATGTTTTCAATCATGCAATGTTGTCCATGCGGGAACTTGGCATCAAGTGATCATGATGCAGCAAGCAACTAAAAGCTTAAACATGTTCAAGGTGGACCTGCTGATGTTGTTGCCGGCCATCCATCGGCACTGCTGCACTGCCACTGGTGATGACATTTAACATGCAACAAGTTGCGCCTTTGTTGTTGGTCTTTATGCAATGATCAGGTTCTAATTATAAGCTAACCAAAAAAGTACAACCCATCCCAAGAGACAAAGAGATCCCATGAACGGGTCACAAGATGCGTCTTTGTTGTCGGGAGCGAGCCGATTCAATAGTAATGTGATGGGTTGATTCTTCATACGACTTTTGGATCAAGGATTTCACATAGAGACCATCAGCAACATCATCGATCTTTTATTGCGTACGTTCATGGTGGATGTATCTAGTTTCTTGAGCTATTTGTTCATGGACGTATACAATGTGGTGGAAGGTACAGCGACGCACATGATAGCCATATGAGGATGAGTTCAATGTCCACAGAGGTGCTGCATGAACGCGCTTGTAATTCACCTCTTTCCTTTTTCCTCTCTCACCAAACAACCGTCTCTGCACATGGTCATCACAAGAAGAAATGTCAAGAACGCACTCTTAGTGGATCCTCCAAGTCGATTGCAATCGTGCCAACAATGATGCCAATACGTCATTCAGGATTCCAAGCACCACAAGAAGCCGCTTCATTCAGCCACGGGTCAAGCACAAGTAGCCTAAAACCGTGGATCAAGGCCTGGCATCGGCATCATAGAATGAAAGCGATATCATAGTAAGTGGATATGAAGCGCCTTGATGAGCCATTGCTAATGCTCTCTCGCTCTGTGTGCGTGTGTTTAGTTCCTTGTCAATGATGATGGCAGACTAAATAACAAGGAGGGGACCTTACCAGTTCCAAAGCAAGGCGTGTACAATGAGTCTCCAGCTTATGGTCCAAAGGTAGTGTTGACAGGTTTTATGGCTGTTAGGATGGCAGGCGTTGTATTCATGTGTGTCTTTTTCGTCGACAAGCGTTTTCCTGAATCATCCAGAGCTCGAGCTCGAACAAAATGCAGAGTCATCAATGGCACCTATTCACCAAAACAATGATCATTACGACAGCGACGACGTATTAGCACTCAAGGGCATGGTCGAGATCTGTTTCGGTTATCAGCACATGGTATGGACCCAATGCACCTTTATGGTCTTGTGTACGACGCGTTCAAGGGAAGGATGTTTGGGTACAAGGTAACAATGGCTCAACAACATTCTTTATACAGCCCGCTTATAGAGCTTCCTTAGCTAGCATTCGTAGTAGTAGTATGCTTTGATTGTCCCGATTAAAAATACACGTTTTTATTGATTGCCAGCAGTAAACAATGTAGTATCCTTGATCGTTCTATGAAAGCGACGCAATGGTTGTGTGCCACCCTTGTCGCTAAAATGCGTAATAAAATGCGTTTTGGGTTGTGTGGTGTATGCATTTTGGTAGTAGCCACTACTTTTAGGGGAGAACTTGTCACTGACTATAGCACAAAGACGCCTCTACATAAAGACAATCAATCATTGCTGCCTAATTTGGCGATGATGTCAGTGACATGGAGCTCGTTTAACAATGAAATCAGGTTCAGGCTCCTCGGTGCTTGAAAAGTCGTTCACATTTCCAAGAAAGGATGTTAACAATGTACGCTACTCCTAAAGAAAAACACAACTCATAATACACACTGGTTCCTTCACTACTCGTGGTTCATTGTGTGAACGATTTGCTTGTTTATAATTGAACAAAAGCAGGTATTATGTACTAGAATGAGAAGGGAAGGGGAACGTGGCGGTATGCTGGTTTAATATCACACGCGCATTTGCTGAGTATAAGAAACGCTGGTTTGCATGAATCACTTCCACACCTCGTTCTTTCTTTTTTCCTCCCATGGTCACTACACGAAAACGAAGCATCGCTGCTGCTGCCGACGACGACGAACAAGTGAATGTGGATTCTCAATCGTCAGCTCGCACGGACATGGCGGACAATGAGAGTGACAACAACACAATCAGTCATGATCGCAAACGTCAAAAGAAGACCACCCCATTGGACCAGGATCAGCCAGCCAAAGTGGAGCAGGAACAACCTATGGAAGTGGTTAAAGCAAAAGCAACAAAACGTACAAAGAAAGCTGCCGTCATTGTAAGTATTTTGTTTAAGAGGTGGAGGATCAATCCCAGTGATTAACATGTGGTATAATAGAAGACCCAAGTAGTGGTGCGTCGACAGCCTGTGCGTGCATGTCGCACTAAAGCTGAATCATCCAAGAAGGATATGGTATGTTTTATCACGATTACACTACTACGAAGCATTAACATGTACATATTATTTATCATAGGTGATAGTGGATGCTGTTCCAAGCTCATCCAAAGCTGTTGGTACTCGTACTCGCAAGAAGAAAAAGGAGGAGGAGGAGAAGGATCCACTCATTGGTCATCCTAAGCCAGCATTATCCATGGAGCTATGGGAGTTGATCTTAGTGGAGGTTGCTCACTTTCCACCATCTCAACTTATTGAGCTTGCATTGGCATCAAAAGCAATGTGTTCTATGGTCATGTCCTTACCTGTGTGGCAGAATATCATCAACGTTTCAGGCATCAAACCGGTTCCAAAGCGCCCCAAAACACCAATCACACCCTATCAGCATGTCTTTAACCATCGTGCTCGGATTTGTGAACAATGTTATGGATACGCTTATCTGAATGGACCAAAAGCGGCATTGCCAGTTTTCTCGGTTGAAGAAGGTCGACGTATTCAAATGTGTCTTCCCTGTCGACAAGAATATTATGAACGGCATCCAGAGCCACCGCCACCTGTACAAAGCGATGAGGAAGAAGACGACGATGATGATGATAATCAGCATGGACGACGACGACAACGTGGAGGACGACGACGACGTCCACGCCTCATCACCAAAACGCGTGGCCAAAGCATGTTCCGGTTACAGAATCGACATATGGATATGATTCCCTATGATGAGGCACGCAATCCACATTATCGAGCTGCAGCACCCATGCGTTTATATGAGATACATGCCATTCGAACACAAGCTCGACGCATTCATGGAGGTGATGTGGGAATAGAAGCTGCGGTGGCTCGTGCTCGTACGATGGCTGAAACTAGACGTCGCAATTTGGAGATTCGACGCTTACGGCAAGAAGAATTACGACGTCAACGAAGAGAAGAAGTGGAAACTCGATTGGAACGTGAGAATTTGCAACAACGCACAGCTATCAACGAGGTGAATCAATACATCATCCATGGTCGAGCTTTTGGTTTCCTCAACACAATCGAAACCCTTGATGAAATTATCGATCTTATCCGTTTACGTGAAGGACGTCGTGCCGAACTTGTCCAACGATTGGAGCAGGAAGATGTACAAGTCAATGCATTTCGTGATATCTTTGCAAGATATGTGACCCATGGTGTGCCTGATATTGATACGGCAGTGGCTCGCTATGTCAGAATTTATGGAATCAATACGCTATCTCGAGAACGAGTAAATCCACCACCACAAATGCAACGACAACCACAACCGCTATCACAGCCGCCACGACAAGAACAACCTCAAGAGGAATCACAAGAGGAACAACCACAAGAAGAACAACCTCAAGAAGAACAACCTCAAGAAGAGCACTCTCAAGAACAACCTCAAGAACAACCTCAAGAGGAACAACCACAAGAAGAACAACCTCAAGATCACTCTCAAGAACAACCTCTAGAGGAACAACCTCAAGAAGAGCACTCTCAAGAACAACCTCAAGAGGAACAACCGCAAGAAGAACAACCTCAAGAGGAATCACATGAGGAACAACCTCAAGAACAAGAACAACAACCGTCCCAAGAACATCCGCCACAAGAACAATCTCAAGAAGAACAACAGTGAATATTGAAAACAGCCATTGTCGACAATATTAGTAGCAATACATGCAACAACAATACCGCCATACGACTTTTTTATCCTCCATCTTCGATCCCATTAGCTAGTATATATCCCATCATGTAGTAGGATTTGCACATACATTTATAAAGATATCGCGTAGTAAGCAGATCATGTCACGTGTTCCTTTGAATGTATATGTATAGTGGCTGCAATTGGGAATTTCATTCTCCCACTTGAGTTACGCTTACACAAGTAGGCCAACTTTAATGCTGCTGAGATGGTACATGACATCACTGGTGTGATAGGTCCTGTCGGATCGGTCAAAAGTTAACAATGCCCATTTAATAACTCGATAAAAGTGATGACAAGTCAAACAAATCTTCTACTTTATTGCACATGATGATGCAATGTATGTTATCTCACTATGCAGGGACAAGTTGTTTGTGCATCATTGCTTGTACTATAGATTTTATGGAGTTTTCCGCGGAAAGAAAAAAGAAAAAGACAACGATCAAGTCCGCTGGGATCCGGTGATCGTGGACTAAAGAGAGAGATTGAAAGAGAGAGAGAGAGTGTGCGCGTGTGTGGGCCAAAGAAGGGTGGAGGGTGAGAGTGAGAGAGAGAAGACAGATCAAATGGGGGAGTATTTGGGGGAGCCTCTTTCTACATCACACACACACACACACGCACACCTATTCCACTTACTCAGTTTCCCTACCCGCCCGTTGAAAAGATCCTGACGATAACAAACGAATGGGAAATCGCATCTCAAAGAAGCGTCGCTTGCCCACCATTAGCAGCACCAGTAGTGACAACAACGATGGCTCATTGTCCTTACATAGTGGCTCACGCTCGTCCGAAATGCGTGTTCCCATTACTGAAGCCGAGGTTGAACGTCAACACTACTTGCACTTTTTATTGAAGCATATTTTCCAAACCAACTATTTTGCACCTATTGATCCTCTTGTGGCAAAACAACAACAACAACACAGTGATGGATCCATGATGGCGTTGGATATCAGTGGTGGTTATTGCCCCACTTGGCTTATGGGTAACGTGTCATCATCATCATTCAGCTAGTAGTAGTCTTCTTGAGTTGACAAATTGATGCCTATGCTTTTACAGAAATGGGCCAAGTGTTCCCCCAGGTCCAATTTCATGGTGTCGATGCCAACGAGTCTATACCCCTGTACGAGTCAAAACATGTGCCTGGCAACGTTCATTTCGAGAAAAGCAACATCCTCGACCACCTCGACTATCCCGACAATACTTTTTTCTATGCTCATCAACGCATGATGTACTTTTGTTACTATGGCGACGATATACCCCATGTATTTAGTGAATTGAAACGCGTCGTTAAACCTGATGGATGGGTGGAATTGATGGAGGTAGGTATAAAGAAATAGCATGTGATAACCATTAGCAGCACTTGGCATTAACGACATTGGTAGACTGATGTGATACCTAAACGCGCTGGGCCGATGTTCAAGCAGTTACTAGAAATAGGTGAGTGAGTGGTCGGCGGGCGGGCATAATTATTACCAGCAATCAAGGGATCGGCACAAACTGTATATGGCTAACCACAATTGGGTCTTGGCATAATAATAGCCGCTTATCACTTGAAGGCACGACAGCAACTCTATCATGGTCCAGCACTGGTACGGGTTCTCAAGGAAAATGGGTTTCAAGATGTCACGGGTGACTATCGTTCCATTCCAGTATGCTGGGGTGGTTATATAGGCAAGATCATGTATGAGGTACGTAAAGCTCGTTGTAGAAGAAGAAAAGGAGCAAGATGGGGTTAAACAGGGAGCTTCTATTAGAACACGTTGACTGCATTACGTGCCATTGGACCTATTATTTACCAAGAAGTACTTGATACGGATGGGGATTATGTACAAGACGACTACGATGAATTCATTGACAAGGCATTCGACGAATGCGTTACATACCAAACATTCTTTAATATCCACTGGGCTTATGGAAGAAAGCCATCGGCTACCACCACCACCACCACCACCCTCTCTAGGTAGATGGATAGATCTTTCTCTAGACTTTAGCGTATGTTTTTTGCTTTTTTTGTTGTTTCCCAATCATTCTCCTCCTCCTCTTCCTCCTACTTTATCCAATTTGTACAGTAATCTTAACTCCAGCCTAGTCAGCGGAATAATACCAGCATTGAATTTGTCGCGCACTTGATCCTATACATTCTCTTTCTCTTTTTTGCACATATATAACCCATACACACACTCACACACACACACACACTTTCTCCCTTTCTATTCTTGTTAATATGAGCGTCCTCGGTATGTATATTTATTTGATAGTTGATATGGATAATGCCTAATAATGTGTACTAGTGACGACGACTTTTTCTCAGGGAGCCGTGTTTTATGCTGGCGAAACTGTCTCCTGCACCATAGCGTTCACCAACCCGTTACCTACACTACCACGACCACCAAGTGCATCATCGTCATCGTCATCCACTTATAGCCGACGATCCAGTACGCGCTTTCAGCAACAGTCCACTCGGCATCTTCAGGGAAATGCAAGCAACCATAGCCGGTCGCAATCGGTCAGTTCTACTTCTGAGCTTGGTACCATGACCCCAAAGCAAGCCAAACGACAAAGCAAACGAGCATCACGCGACTTGGAAGCCTTCATGGGACGATCGACAGTGAGCTCACCATCACCTCCTGGGTCTAGTAGAACAGCTACGACTACACTTACATCGCTAGCGTCGTCAACGTTTTCTTTCTTTACGGGTCGACAAGATACGCGCAAAGATGAACAAGAAGAGGAGGAGGAAGAAGAACAAGAACAAACGAACCATTGGGAAGAAGGTAGGATGTTATAGAGAATAGGATGGTGGATAGTCTTCTTACAAAAGGAGGGGTATTATTAGAGCGACATCATTCATCATCATCGAGAATGGCGGCTATGTTGGATGAAGAGAACGACAATGAGGATGATCAAGAAGGAGGAGCAGGAGAACCTATATCGATTGAATTGGGTGATTCAATGACACCACGATCCAGTGTAGATACGCATGGCACACGAGAACCTTACTATGATATCAGTCGACGTAGCTCAATGGATTCTTTGGCATCATCCAACAACCCATACCATGGGGGTCGCGCATCACAACTATCAGCACCACGATTGTCACAATTCTTGCTAAGATCATCCTCTGCGCCATCCCTCGTCAAAAAGCCTGAACATTTGCTTTGGGGATTTGCTCAAGTTGTCGGCAACTTTATTGTGGATCCAACACTTATCAACAATAACGAATTTGCGCCTCTCAAACAAAGGACAATGTATCGACCTCATGGTGCTGGCATGGGCGGTGGTGGAGGTTTATTAATGGGTGGTCGTTCCGATATGCATTCAAAGATTGGTAAGTATAAGCCCATGGTTGACGTGGATAGAGGACAATGGCTCATTAGGATTTCTGTGTATGTGTGTCTAGATACCCGTACGACGCCTGTAATCTCAACACCTCCGTCGATTTTATTTGTGGACCTGGATTTGGCACCTGGAGAGACAAAAAAGTGTATGTGTTTCTTTTTATATATCTTATTCTCAGCCCTTGTTGTTGTACCGCCCGCCACCTCTTTCTTATGCAACCCCTTTTCTTTTAGTCTCATACAAGCTCAAACTTCCAAATGATATTCCACCCTCTCATCGAGGCAAAGCCATCCGATTCACTTATTCTCTTGTTGTCGGCACTCAACGGGCAAATACAACACCATCGGGTGGTCAAGGTCAGGTCGTACAAATCCCCTTTCGGGTGCTGAACCACGTATCCGGTAAGTAGATACAATCTTGGTATTCCATGAAACTTATCGATTGCCACCATAGAGGATGGATCACGACCGATCTATGACTTGATGAATCCCGTTGTCATGTATAAGGATGAAGCTATTGTGGAAGCATTCTCTGAAGAGGATTTCAAAAAACCAAGGCTGAGCATGAGACGAAGGGAATCGAATAAATCAGGTAATAATGCCATGGGGATGCATGGATGATGGAGGAAGGGACTAACAAGGTGGATCGATCCCCATTGTCTAGCCAGCAACAAGGCAAGGGATGAATTCATGGCCTATGTGAATGAGCTCTCTGAACACGTCAATGGCAACACATCGATCCATGAAATTACACGACGAGAAAGCGATGCATATGAGGAACCTACAGCTGAGCAGGATCAGGATGATGATGAAACAGCTGAGAAACGAATGTATGGGCGGGCGTGTGCTCAAATTGTTTCCAGGATAACCAATGCAAGCAGGAAAGGTAACGTGTTTGTGTGTTTGTGCTTGGATGAATGAAGGAAGAAGTGGAGGAGCTCATTGTTGTATGACATAGCCATGTTTGATATATGCAAAAACAATCAACGGGTTGCACAGCTGCATTTGACAAAAACATCGTATCGTCTTGGAGAAGCTGTCTTGGGCGTCTTGGATTTCGAACATGCGGTGTTGCCGACCTATGAGGTGAGTGATAAATGCCTAACACATACATACAACCCTATGACACCGGCAACTCATTCTGCTATAGGTGTCCATTCTTTTGGAAAGCAATGAGATAGTACAAAGCGATATCGCTATACGACAACCCAACCAGATTGCACGCATCTCTCGGAAATGTTATGCTGAACATCATTCATTTTGTCTCAACCATCGACGATTGGCCTTTTCCCTTCCTATTCCCACCATCGCATCACCTGAATTCCAGACAACAGGAGGTAAATTGGAGGATAATGGATCATGACAAACAAGAAAATGTTGACCTTTGTGTTATTATAGTCAAATTACAGTATTACCTCAAGTTTGAATTTATTGTTGCTCAAAGGCCCAAACGATTATCCACCTCCTCTCCTCCCAAAGCACAACCCCCTTTCATTCCTATCAATGTCGATGATCGGCATAAGCATTACCAAGCCGCACAAGACGTTGATGTGAGCACATTCGACTGCCAAATCCCTATTCGAGTGTATGGATCGCCTGGTGGAACAGATCGTGCCGTCTATGGCAGGCCATACACCTTTCTTGTACAGTAATGTTTTTTCTTTCTTGTTTATGTTGTTTTCGTGTAGACAATACGGCAGAGATACACACACACACACGCACACACACACAAACATATATATACATATGGCACATATCAATCAATCCACGATCACCTTGAATAAACCTTGTATACGCGTTATTACTAACTAATGAAAACCCATATGGTGATCCAGAAGATTGGTGAAGGCATCTGCAGCGGGGCTGGGAAAGGGTTCCATTTCGCGTGTACTTGCATCACTCAGAGCATCCACAAGTCCACTTTATCAGGTTGTTAGCCCCACTTGACCTTTATCTTTTGCATCATGATAAACTTACTTTGGAGTACTACAACAACAATAATTCTTTTGCTGCATCGCTTGTGCTAATTCGACTTGGTGATTATCCATCAATGATGTATTGCTGACAACAATCAATCGCTTGTGCAAACGAAGGGCTTGTAACATCGATCCAGATCCTTTGATGTAATAGTCCTTGAGTACCCCATGCTGTCGAACCCTGTTAATCCGAATCCTACGTACCTGCATGACTAATAATAAGACTAGCATGTTTCATGTCGTCTTCAATAGAAGGCTTATAGGCGTATCCTTCTGTCTTTATGCTGCCATTGGGTAACTGGTTGACATTGCGCGTGTAGACATGCTCAGATGATCCATATTGAATGACAAGCGAAGAGTAGCCAAGCGATTTGAGTGCTGAAAGGAACGATCCAGTGGTAACAACGTCAACGAGTTCATCAAAGCCTGTGGATCCAACTGTAACAAAGACCGACATATTCCCTATGTGGTGGATTGCGAGTGTGTGTGCCAACCCCATAGCAACTCCCCCTATAGCATCACGTGATCATTCTTAGGTGATGACTGTTGTAGGATGCACTTATTGAAAGGATGATTGACGTAGTATAAATGTATTCAAATAACCCTAAAGGCGATCTATACCTATTATACTAGAGCAGGCCTATTAAATGCAATGTTATTGTTGGTTGCTAGGCAACGAGATGAAGCGGGATTTGGGTATATACCAGCAAATAACGTCTCCACCACGAACGACGGCTGTTTTCAGAGCAAGTTGTGGCGAGATCAATTTCATCCATCTTAATTGTTCAAAGGGATGGATGGTATAGATCACGACGATCTTTGATGATCAAGATAATGATGAAACCTCGTCAACATATAGATAAACGACTACTTGATAATAGTGTAATGGTAAGCATGGAATAGAATGGCGGCTGAGATGCGTGGCGGGATGCAAGCGTCAAGCGTGTGGTCCATACAAGGCAATTCATCTACCTTTCTCTTCTCCACCTTTACACACCGCAATGCCCACCACTGAATCATCAACACCTCCTCCTTCTTCTTCCAATTCACAGTCGCAAACAACACCAGCAACTCCAACCATGACGAATGCAACTGGTGCCAACAATGTAGAATCGACGACGACGACGACGACCGTAACGACCCCGTTGAATATGAACAGCACCACCCCCAATGACAAGACGACACACAGAGATCGTGTACGATTAAAAGGGAAATTCCCTAGCACCATGACGCCGTCAGGTCGACAAGATGTCCTAGCACTGAAACAGCAACTTGCAGACGCGCTTGGTGAGAACGGGCCACTGTATTGGGATGCCCTGAAGGACTTTGTTGCCGGCAAACTGAACCGACAAGAGTTTGATTTCTATGCCAACCTCTATCTTAGTCGAGAGAATGGTAAATGGGATCTATCTATAGAGAGGTGGTCTTTGTACTAACATAGGGGGTTGTTTTAGCATATCTTCACAATGCTTTTATCCTAAGTACGATTCACAACGCACAGGCTGCTCATCCACCACCTTCGAAACATCGCTCTGTTGGCTGGGCCAAGAGGAAACGTGGCAAGGATGGATCATTACTTGATGGGAGCCAGGATCGTGATCCACAAAAGAGACGACTTAAGATGGATGTTATGTCACTCAGCAAAGCGGATCGTGATCGCCTTAAGCAATTGGTCAAGGTAAGAGGAAAACGTAAGGGGGGGAAAAAGAGCCATTGGACTAATAGGATTTTATACGTAGTCTGGTGATAAGGAACGATTGCGACCTTTTGTTGATCAAGTGCTTGGACCACGTATTAGCCGAGTACCACCGTTACCATTACCTGCAGAGCAATTACCACAAAGTATGATTGGAGGGGGGGGTGAATGAATGGATGGGTATGAGGTAGGAGAGATCTAACATGAACATGATGATAGCTTTCAATTCGGATTATGCACGTGGACTTTTGGCACCATTATGCGCGGACCTGAAGGAACTTCCTGGACCAGAGACTTTACGAGCAAGGATGACAAGTATAGCTCTTGAACAAGGACTAGTGGGTGGAGTCTCAGAGGACGTTGTGAGTGCCATGCTGTTTGCCACCGAGAGTTATATCAAGTCAGCCATTGCCAATGCCATCAGCAAACGAAGAGTGAATAGAACAATCGGCGTACGCATGAGGAAAGACACCGATGAGACACGTACAATGGCTTTGGAACAAATGTCCTTAACATCAACAACAACGGCACCACCTTCATCTTCAATACAAAAACCATCATCATCATCATCATCCTCAGCGCAAGAACCTATAAAAGATGTGCACATGTCTGAAGCAAGCAACGACAAGAATGAAGATGAAGAATCATCATCCATCACCTCCTCCTCCTCTGTTGATACCCCGGGTGATTCAATTTCCTTACGTGATCTGGCATTCTCCTTTTCAGTATCACCTTATGTATTGGTTGAAAATCCTCTCAGTGCCGAAAGGTTGACAGCATTGTTAACGGATAGCGAAGATGAAGAAACGGATGATGACTTGGGCGACTCAAGCTCTGAAGGTGGATTCGAATTGTAAAAAGAGACACATGAAAGTTGAATAGCGGAGAGTCAATCTATGGGTGTGAAAATAAAGGATGGGTTGGTGTAATATCATGCTCTTGTTGTCTCCCTTTTTCTTTTACCCCACTTTTTTTCTAAACCCTATTACACAATGCCTCTGCCACTTTCGGGAATCGTTGTACTTGAGTTAGGAGGGCTTGCTCCAGCACCTTTTGCAGGCATGATCCTCTCGGATTTTGGTGCTAGTGTGATTCGTATTGACCGCACAAACGGTCGAAGCACTGACATTTTGGCAAGGTCGTGTCTCTATTAAATTGAAATTCATGCTGCTGCTGCTGCTACTCCATGTATGCTGATACGTACCGAAACCATAGAAACAAACGGTCCATCTCCTTGAATCTTAAAAATCCTACAGCCATTGCAACACTACGCGAGATGACAAAGAAGGCAGATGTTTTGCTTGATCCTTTTCGACCTGGCGTGCTCGAGAAGCTCGGCTTAGGCCCTGATGTATTACTTAAAGACAACCCACGTCTCATTATTGCTCGTATCAGTGGTTTTGGTCCTTCAGGTCCTGCATCGAAAGCAGCTGGTCATGATATCAATTATCTTGCCACCGCTGGTGTTTTAGGCGTAAGTCTATTGACAATGCATGCATGCTTTTTTATGCATTGATGTTGAAAATGCACCTTTAGATGATTGGGCAAGAAGGTGATCCACCCGTGTTCCCATTGAATGTCTTGGGTGAGTACATACATACACACACATTTTAAAATTTAGTCAGCTTTTCTCACGTGGTACATTCATGTCATGTATATAGCTGACTTTGCTGGTGGTGGATTGATGTGTGCTATGGGCATTCTAATGGCAATCGTTGAAAGACAAAGGTCTGGTAAGGGACAAGTGGTGGATGCCAACCTGGTACGTGTACTCCTCAATAGCCGTGGCATTTTATTAACAAGCAATGTATAGACAAGCGGAACTTCTTATTTGACGACATTCCCTTATCTCATGCAACGATATGGTTTGAACTTTGCTGAACCACGTGGTAGCAGTATGCTTGATGGTGGTGCTCATTTTTATCAATCCTATAAAACCAAGGACGGGCGTTTCATGTCTGTGTAAGTTGAAAAAGGATTTTGGTATTGTAGCAGCAGCAGCAGCAGACTCATAATGGATATGGAAAATAGTGGTGCTATTGAACCCCAATTTTATGCAGAGCTTATCAAAGGTCTTGGTCTTAAACTAGAAGATCTACCCAATCAACATGATAATGAACATTGGCCAGCTATGAAGGAACGTTTTGCAACTATCTTTGCCAGCAAAACCCAAGCTGAATGGACCGACATTTTCGATGGCACGGATGCATGTGTGGCCCCTATCCTCTCTTTTCGTGAACCCATCCCCGGTGCATCTCCTGTAACCCAACAAGAACGTCAATGGCCACGCCAAGCTGCACCTCCACAACCAGCCCCAGCATTATCGAGAACACCAGCACGACCAGCAGACTATGAAAATGATGTACCCTTTTTAACACCTGGTGAACACACTTGTGAGATCCTGACACAATTTGGTTTCAGCAAGGATAAGATCGACCAATTGCTCCAATCTGGTGCTGCTATGGATGCATCATCACCAAAAGCCAATTTGTAATAGTCATATGCAGGTTTATATATATATCATCATGATCCATGAGCTATATTAAACGGGGCTCTATCCTGAACACACTTGTCAAAGACTTGTCGTATATACATTTCAGCAGTCGTCCTTCCTCCACAGTGAACAGCTGTCGATCGAATAGCATCTTCCCATATACATTCTCGTTTACGCTGTGGCGATTTGATATCATGACATTGTCCTATGTACATACATACATGACATCATGTGAATAAGAACGTCTATTGAATAAGCCTTCTTTTTACCTAATGCTGAAGCACGAATCTCGCCACATGCAATCAAATGACACATGGTTGAAAATGTCCCTGTGCGTATCCTGTCAAAAGCGTGGACCAGCTCATGCACCAATGTGGACTCCAATTGTTTCTCGGAATGGATATTGTCACAACAAATCACAATGCTATGATGTATGAGCCTCAATGCCACATGTTCATTCATCCATCCCTTCATCAACTCACCGTTTGTATTGTCCATCATAATATCCCATTCGACTCTATATATACTTAATAAGTCATCCATCCATTCACTCAATACACAAGCCCATGACACCACACGTACCGCTTGTTGTGTTCCTGCACAAGGCCTATCATCATTGACATATCACATGTTAATCCTTGCTGTCAAACTTGCACACTTGAACACGTCCACCTACCGGCAAGTGATACCACGTCGTAGACTATCCTTGTTGAGAGCAAAGATAGCTTGCAGTAATCTAGCAACCTTGGGCGATGTCTCCAGAATGCGACCGAGCTCTACTGTGCATTTCCCCTCGGTGTATCTAATGCAGAAACGGTGAATGGTGGCGACCCAATGTCGTAGAGTCGATTGAGGTTGCTTACGGTTGATCTTGTTGGGGCGAATGGTAAAAGCGCATTCGATCCAAGCGCAAGGGAGGAGGAGGGAGCGAGGTCGTTGACGCCTCACGGGAACCAAAATTGGACCCTTTGTCAGCATTCTTTCTTTGAAGAAAATGTCACGTTATCCTTAGTACATTCATATCACACATCCTTGTTAATCAGACCTTCCATTGTACCCTTTAATCAAGAATCACTATCATTGAGTAAAGTAGGCATGTGAATGTCTTTTCAATCAAACGTACGTACTATCCCCAATAGTTCTTTTTTGTCGTACCATATTTGAGCGGGCGGCGATCATTCATGATGTGGGGCTACAACTCGCACTTGCATAAACATCCATTTGAAACATTCTTATCCTTCCTCTAATCTCATTTACAGTAACATTGTTAATTGGCAATAAACTCAAAAGGCTTGCTTCCCTCCGACGGGTGTGTGGGTGGATAGCCATTCGCCAGCTTTCAGGTACGCACTTGCACCAATTCGGGGAAAGCAATCCCTAGTTACACAAAGTAAGTTGCCTTGTTGGATGAAAGGAACAGCATCAGCAGCAGTCCAAGCCCAACAAAATCCCACGCTCTTCGTAAAGGCTAACATCCTATTACCCAAACAAAAACATCGTCCCAAATGAGGAGTGTATATGAGATCGATAAGAAATTGAGTCCGGCAATAAACTGGAAAAAAAGTACGAGGCTGATTATTTTGACATGAACTGATGTTGTTGATGATGAACAAGGTTATTACAACAAATAATTGAAAGCTGTCATCATCGTATCACATTCTTGGTTATGATGTCCTTATGCTGAATGACGTGTGGGGCAATTGTCTTGTGATCAACCAGACAACGTGGGCGTTGTTACCTGTCACCGACATCAGTAATAGAAGAAAGGTCGAGATCCTCTCCTTTTTTATTGTCCCGCAACAAGTTGTTGTCCAACATAGATAGGACGAAAGAATCTGGAGCAGCAGCAACAGCATTCTTCCTATAAAGATCATGGACGACCAACACTCACGTTATTGGTAACCATGCCATTGATGATGGTAACTTGAATTGGGTAACGTTAGCGATCTTTATTTTTTGAGTCGATGGTGGGGACGATGGTGGGCTGCATAACAAACTCATGTATGCTGCGTGCACGAGGAACAGAAACCTTCCGAAAGGGTGTCATGTCGCACCAGATGATAGCGTGTGTTCCCAATGTGCCGCTCTTAATGCCTTGTAATGGGTACACCTTTTCAAAGTGCTCTACTCTTGTGCCAATAGCGAACCAACGCACGGACACGCTTTTCGTCTATACCCGTGGCACGACGGCGGTAAAGCTGCTGCTCCGAAAGGTCTTTTATCGATGGATCAATAATTGATTAGCTGCATCAGGAAATGAGAACAACATGCATTGCATCGTGCATAAGCTTTTTCTTTTACTTTTCGTGCATTGCATCCACAAAGGGGCCGCAAAGAAAAAGAAAAGCTGGGGCACCGGCAGCATTGGAGTAGTAGTAGGAGGAGCCTTAGTAGGACCAAAGGTCTATTATCATTTTCATCTTGTCTCCTATCGCACAAAGATCTGTCATAGACAAGACGTGTTTGGTTATTTATAGCTACAAAGATAAACCGTTTACGACATGTCCAATGCCTCCAAATCACTGGTTGGGAATAGATGCCACATGTGGTGCAACCACAACCCACGCACTAGTAGCCCAATTACCATGTGCTGTTGACGGCCCTTTAGATGTTTTTGGATTTGACGTATGCAACACGTAGCGATGATTGGCATGGATTCAACACAAACCGGGTTATTGTGCAGGTTGGCGCTGACACGTTTGATTATAGCAATGGGGTATCAAGATTTTGCTGCTGATAACTATAATACCACGTATACCCCTTTCTTTTCCTATCATCATCAATGCGACAAACAAAACAAACGATGGAGGAAAAAACATGCAAACAATACACACACACATCACTTGTACTACACTGACAAGGTGATATACTTATTACTATTGAATGGGTTTTCTGCATTGGAATAAAGGTGTACAAGTAAAACTGATTGAACAAAGACATACTAGAGGGATTGATCGTTGTCTCTAAATTTGCCATTCTTGTGTCGCTTTATCGATCTATTTTTGTCTGGTTTCCGCGGAAGCAAGCAACGTGTCGGCTACTTGATCCCCCCTTTGATTATTCCCCCCACCGCGGAAGCAGCCTAATGGATATCTTTTGACGTGATCCAACGAAAAGCAAACCAAACCTATATAAAAGCCATTCAATTTTGGATCGTTGGCTCGACTCGCTTCTTTTTTACTTGTTCCTTTACCCGTTCTTTTTCATCTACATTACTCATATACACATTACAGCATGTGCGGCATCTTTGGGTAACTCATCTCTCCGTCATCTCGTCATCTGCTCTCTCCATAGTTTGACTCACACCTACTATGCGCGTAGTTACCTCAACTACCTCGTCGAAAGAGATAGACGCTTCATTTTGGACACACTTACCAACGGCTTGTCCCGCTTGGAATACCGAGGCTACGACTCTGCAGGTAAAGATCTCGTCATCATCATCACTATACTGGTTCCTGATTAATTAACGTGTCTTTTTTGTTATCAGGTCTCGCTGCTGATGGTGATGCTGAGGGAGAAACATACATTTTCAAGCAAGTTGGCAAGGTGGCTGCCCTTAAGAAGCTTGTTGATGAGCAACAAATTGATTTCGAAAAGACATTCATCAGCCACTGTGGCATGGTAAGTAGGATTAGGAAAAGACAATGAAAGCAATACGTGATATTGATTGTCTCCTATGATAGGCACATACCCGATGGGCTACTCATGGTCAGCCCTCTCAACTGAATAGCCATCCTCACCGCTCCGATCCCACCAACGAATTTACCATTGTACATAACGGCATTATCACCAACTACAAAGAAATCAAGACCCTCTTGGAAAAGAAGGGCATCACCTTTGAAACTGACACTGGTAAGATGATAAAATCACTCTCAAAGATAATCCAACAAGCATGCTAACTTGGCTCTTGTAGACACTGAAATCGTGGCCAAGCTCACAAAGTACATCTACGACTCCCAAAAGGATTCCACCACCACCCTCACCTCCCTTGCTAAGCAAGTATGCAAGGAACTCGAAGGTTCCTTTGCTTTCATCTTCAAGAGCTCTCACTTCCCCAATGAGATCGTTGCCACGCGTCGTGGTTCTCCTCTTTTGATTGGTGTCAAGACCGAAAAGAAGCTCAAGGTTGACTTTGTGGATGTTGAATTCGGCAATGCCGCTGATTCTGGTAAGTGTGACTTGATTGGACAAGCGGGGAATTACATGGTTGGACAAAGGAGGGCGAGAAGGCTGATGATGGTTGTTATTACGTGTTGTGTTTAGTCACCCCTGCATCTGGTGCTGGTTTCTTATCTGCTGAAGATGGCCATCCTCAATTGCACCGTAGCCAATCTCGTGCCTTTTTGAGCGAAGATGGTATGCCACAACCTATTGAATTCTTCCTTGCTTCCGATGCTGCTGCTATTGTCGAACACACCAAGCGTGTCTTGTACTTGGAGGATGATGATATTGCTCACATTGCCAACGGCGAACTTCACATCCATCGTCTTCGTCGCGACGAGAACAGCTCTGCCACTCGTTCCATTCAAACCCTCGAGATTGAACTTGCCGAGATCATGAAGGGTTCCTTTGATCACTTTATGCAAAAGGAGATTTACGAGCAACCTGAATCCGTTGTCAACACCATGCGTGGTCGTGTCAACTTTGAACAACACAAGGTCACTCTTGGTGGTCTCCGTGGATACTTGCCCATCATGCGTCGTGCTCGTCGTATTGTATTCATTGCATGTGGTACCTCCTACCACAGCTGTATGGCTGTAAGTATACATACACTCATATTATTTACGCTTCTTTTATTGACTTTTTTATCATAGACTCGTGCTATCTTTGAAGAATTGACCGAGATCCCTGCTCAAATTGATCTTGCCTCAGACTTTTTGGATCGCAAGTCCCCCATCTTCCGTGACGATGTGTGTGTCTTTGTATCCCAATCCGGTGAGACTGCTGATACCATCCTTGCTATGCGTTACTGCTTGGAGCGTGGTGCTCTTTGCGTTGGTATCACCAACACTGTTGGTAGCTCCATCTCACGTGAAACCCACTGTGGTGTCCACATCAACGCTGGTCCTGAGATTGGTGTTGCTAGCACCAAGGCTTACACTTCCCAATACATTGCTCTTGTCATGATGGCTTTACAACTCTCCGAAGACCGCTTATCAATGACTGAACGCCGTAACAGCATCATTGATGGTTTGTATCGCTTGCCTGGTCAAATCAAGGAGGTGCTTGCTGAGGATGCCAACCTTCAAGAACTCGCTGCCGACACCTTGTCCAAGGAACGTAGTCTGTTGTTGATGGGCCGTGGTTATCAAAACGCTACTTGCTTGGAAGGTGCCCTCAAGATTAAGGAAATCTCCTACATGCATAGTGAAGGTATCTTGGCTGGTGAACTCAAGCACGGTCCTTTGGCCCTTGTCGATGAAAACATGCCCGTCATCTTGATCATGACCCAAGATTCTTTGTACCCCAAGGTGCAAAGTGCCCTCCAACAGGTCTCCGCTCGTAAGGGCAAGCCTATTATCATTTGCAACGACAATGAACAAGACCTCCAGAAGTCTTACAAGACCATTCGAGTCCCTCTCAATATTGACTGCCTTCAAGGATTAGTGAACATTATCCCCTTGCAACTCCTTTCATACCACCTTGCTGTCATCCAGGGCGTCGATGTCGACTTTCCTAGAAACTTGGCCAAGTCTGTCACCGTCGAGTAATAAAAAAGATCATGGTTTCTCAGGATATTATTGTGTGTTTGTGATGGGATATATGGTGGATGTGTTAGCTCTTGGGCTTTTGTGGATTGAGTTCTATAAAGCTATGGTGTGGATTCGCGTGAAGATCAAAACTTGTAACGGTATGGCTTTTGGGTTGCTTCATCCGACATAGGTAGCGGTGGTACATCTTCAGTCGTATACATCAATAAAATCATAAGAGGATCGTGTGTTACGACGTTATTGACGAGATCTAATCATAAGAAAAAGGGAAGTGTGGTTACACTATCGAGTACAGCTATGTTCGAGGCACAATGAATCAATCAGTCCCTTTCTCTTCCTTTCGTTTTTTTCCTTATCACAGCATTTACAATTTATCAAGTGCCACAAACGACGAGGTCAAACATAGGAAGATGGAAGGTCTCTTACGCTATAGAAACTTAGCAGTGATTGGACAACACAATGCCGTATTCTTTAAATGTAATCCTTTAATCCAACATCATTCACAAGAATAGATTGATAGGTACAACGAATTGGTCCAATGGGGGATATACATCAATTAGAAAGTTCTATCCTTGGGCATGCATTGTATAAAGGTGAATGGATGAACGTGAGGTGGCGAGCTATATGCATATGCAGTTGAACGATGATGGTTGTACTTGGTTGACAGGTTGCATAAAGGATGATAGTACGCTAATTGAATGCACCAATCGTTCAAGATGATAGCGTCAAGGTCAAGTTGACAATGGAAACATTTGATTCTTCTGATATTGGATGATGTTTCTGTGTTTGAGCGTTGCTCAGTCAAATCCCCTCGGATCAAGAAAGTTGAATGATGGAGATGATGGGCTGGAGCAGGACAATCGTTCACATGCATTGGGTTGGGCAACAAAGGTGAATGGGAGGATAGGGTTATTAGCTGGCATTTTAGGAACTATACCTAAATAGTGTACAAGTATCATGCATCGCCTGTGCTGACTGACTCAAGTTACACAACACGCCCCTCTGCATCTTTTGCTCTATTATAGTCATACTACTTTACATTAAACAAAGACCACTTCTCATATAGCATCACCCTTACAGCATATGTAAAAACATAAAGGTGCCTGTATCTCCGAACTTTACAATCAAACGTGGGGTTTTTATTAGAGCAATGTGCTCGGCTTGGCCAACTGCACCTTGTTGGGTGCCAGTTTCACGATCAAGCTTGCCAATCCCAGATTTCGCAATGTCGCTACCAGCCAAACTGGATCTGGGGATCGACCTCTTCGACGACGACCCAAAAAATATTTTTTGGGCTGTTTGCGACATTGAACGAGAAACTTTCACACAAGGTGCTGTTGGCCAAGCCGAGCCCATTGCTCT